CCACCCCCAACTGGGAGAGAGCTCCCTGGAGGCTGCAGGGGAGGGGTATAGAGTTTCAGCCCACCCCACTGGCCAGTAAATGTGGGGCCTCTGCATCCCTGGCCAAGCAGAGTCCTTCCCCTCTGTGCGGGCCTGGCCGGCCTCAGGAGGATGGCCCCCAGCACGCTGGCCCTCACCATGCCGCCCTCCCTGTCAGGCTGTATCGGCCAGAAAGATACTGGGGAGGAAACGGTTGATAAGGTTCAGCAGCAAACTCAGTGTGAAATGCCCAGATTGTTTTCTGAGGCCAAGACCCACTACCAGCTCCAAGTGCTGTGTTTTGAACACAGGAATGGAATCTATGTGGGATGATGACAACATACACACATTTGAATGTTCAGTTGAGTTTTCCCCAGCTGTTCTGAAAACTTGAAATCCGGGCTTCCCCGGTGGTGCAGCGGTTGAGCGCTGGGTTGCGAAGCTGCCCGCAGCCTCTGCAGCGCCAGTTCGATCCCCGGCTGCTCCCCGGCCACCAGAGGAGGGTCCCACATGGCGCGCAGACCCCTCCTGCCGCCCGCTGCTCCCCTCAGCAGTGTACTTTGGTCCTTCTGCCTGCTCTGCTCCCCACTCTGGCGAATTCTTTCACCCTCCCGCGCTTCTGACTCTACCCAGTGCTTGTATAAATAAATAAATAAATCTTACAAAAAAAAAAAAAAGAAAACTTGAAATCCTATAAACAAGCTGAATGCTCAGACATCCTATCTAGAATCACTCTTGCCACATTACCATCCCCCACTCGCTCACATCTGACATTTAGATGTGTCACAATCCATGGTGAGTCATAGCTGAAGTGGCATTTTCCCTTCTCTGTTCCCCCCCCCCCCCCGCACCCGCCACCACCCCATGGCCCCACACTCACAGAGCACCTTGCAAGTGATGATGACATGTCAGGCTGTCCCTGCACCCTCTGGTTCCTGCGGGCACCATGCCATGGTTACATTCCTGTGATGGTCAGTTTGTCTCTCTTCGTGTGGCTCTGCCAATCTTGACCTGTTTCGTCAAGCGCATGTATAAGGAACTGTCTTATCTTCCTGCGGAACTAAAATTTTTATGACAAAATACCAATCCTTTTAAGCTCAGTTTGCAACTTAAAAGTCTTTTCTGTATCACACAGATAAATCTACTTTCTTGGTAAGAATTTGCCTGATCTATTCTTTGCCCTATTTTCACTTCAAATTTTTCTATGTTCTTTTGCTCTTTGTGGATTTTTGAAAAACAGCCAAAACTTCACCGTTATTTAAAAAATACAGGCTGCCAACCCTGTCTTTTACTGGATCCTCTAGTTAACTTGCTTTTGGATTTATTTCATGACTTTATGCTCCTCCATCCCTGCTTTTTTTTTATAGGCATCTTTTCTTATTTCTTGCTGGAGTACTCTCTTGAGTAATTTCTTATTCTATTCTTTCCTTTAGTACAGAATCCTCAAGTCTCTGCACTATCGACATCAAGGGCCGCATCTTGGCTGTGTGTGGGCCTCTCTTGTGCCCTGTAATGCTCCTCAGTACCCCTGTTTTCTACCCACTAGATGCCAGCAATACTCTTCCAGCTCGGATGCCTCAAAATGTTTCCAGACTTTGCCATATATCTCCCGGGGCATAAAATTCACCCCATGCCCCAATGACAAACACTGTTCTAGTGAAATACCTGGAGAAATTTTAACACACGTAACTTATCCATGTCTCAAATTAATCCCTGCCTTTATTCGTCTCTGAAACACAACAGGAACTTGAAGATATTTTATCTTAGATTATTCCCCAATCCTGTAATTTAATTGTTTCCTTAAACAACTAAACGTCGTTATTGTTTTGTACAGTATTTGCGTAGATTTACCACATGTACTAGCTTCTTTCTGTATTTCTTTTATATCACAGTTTCCATCTGGAAGTGGTTTCCTTCTGTTTGCAAAACAGCCTTTAGATCTTTAGCTAATAAAGTTCTTTTGATGTCACGTGCTCAACTTTTGAGTGTTTCCTCTCTGTTCCAGAAGGATTATTTTTTTGTGTTCTACAGTGTTCAGAAACTTTTTTTTTTCCTTACAGGATATGGGTTCTAGTTTGACAAAGAGTTTGGATGCCCTGGGAAGGCATGCTGTCACTTTTTGGACTTCTACTACTGCTGAGAAATCATCCATAAATCTACTTGTTCTTCCTTTGAGGGTGATCTACCTTATGTATGTCTGATGCCCTGCAATGTCCCTCTGATGAGACATTGCAAATGTCTCAAATATTGCTTTTGCATCATCCTTTCTCATGTCTCCTCCTGAGGCTGATTAGGTGTGTACCGGGTCATCCCACTCTGTCCTCCATCTATCTCATATCTTAACCTCTCATCTTCCCTATACCCTCATGTTTCTTTGCCCTGAGCCTTGATAACCACTTCAGATCTGCCCTTCCAGGGATGGTTACTTTAATAAAGCTGGAAAGCAGGAAATGGAAGTCTAAGGATGTATTTCCTGTCATTAATATTGCTGAACTCTTTTTTTGGTAATATTTATTTTTATTTATTTATGCATATAAGAACTGGGGTGCAGGCCAGAGGTGCAGGGGGTGAGAAGATTCACAAGAGACAGAGTGGGGAGCAGAACAGGTGGATCAACTGAAATACACTGCTGAGGGGAGCAGCAGGGAGACAGGAAAGGTCTGCAGCACCATGTGGGCAGCTCCCTGGCTGGGGATCGAACTCGTGCTGCAGTGGCTGTGGACAGCTTCATTGTGCTGTGTCTTGATCCCTTGGGCCACCAGGGAGGCCCCGTATTGCTGAACTCTTACAGGGCACGTGATAGAGGTGTCTTCTTGCTATTATCATCCCACAGACAGGCGCAGATTGCACCATGAGAGGAGAGAAAATGGGAAGTGACGAGGGGGACGGTAGAGAGGGCTTGATTTCAAAACTAAGTCAACACCCATCGGTGGTGGGTGGGGTGTAGAGTGGGGCAAGCAGACAATAGACTTTGTGCTTCTCCAGTAGTAGAGTCCGGGGTTGCTCTGTGGCCTCTGGTTCCACCCCAACATCATACAATTTGGGCCTCTTCCCCAGCAGGAAGGGGAGCAGCTTTTGACCCAGGGGGGGTCTATGTCTTTTTCATCCTTCTTTTGCCACTCCCCCATGTCTGTCTTTCTTGGCTTTGAGACCTTTAGTCCCCCCAGCCTCCAGGTAGTCAAGCCCGGGTTTCTACCATTCCCTGCCCCAGCCCCTGAGGTGGGAGGTGCTGGCGCTGTTAGGAAATAGGCTGAGCCCTAGAGTTTTCGGCGACCTACACCATCTCCATACACTCAGTGATGCAGCTGCAAACGTTAGACATGGACTCTGGCTGACATAAGCAGAAAAGGAGCTTCTCAACATCAAAGTGGGGAGCTCTCAGAATCTCAGGAAGAGTGGGGGGAACCATGAGGAGGGACAGACAAGAACGATGTCAAATCAGACCCAGTCTGGTGTGGATGTCACGGCTGCTGGTGCCACGGCTCCCTGGTGGCCGGACACATGTCCTGCTGTCACCCTGCTTCTAAGTCAAAGCTGGGTTGGGGCATTTTGACTCCCTAGAATGGGGGAGGGGTTCATAGTTGCTGGGTGGAGATTCCTGACATAGAAGGGGTTTCAGGCGAAGGCGCAGGAAGGATGCCCCCGTCCATGGCAGGGGTGGAGTGGTGAATGGGGGAGCTCCTTTTCCTTTCTCCAAAACCTCATGTAGCCACCTCCTGCAGCACTGGACATGCCTCCTGCAGGGAGGAGAGCTTCACTGGGGAAGAGAATCAGATTTCTCATGACAGGAGCCCAGGCCAGAGTCCAGCTTTGGGGGGAAGGGGAGAACTGAGAACTGGAAACAGGGTGAGCACCTCCCCAGAATGTCAGTGGAAGTAATTAAAAGATACCGACCTAGAAGATGAAAGCAAGGAAGGCCAGTCATCTTTTCCCCATATTGTATCATTTAAAAAACATCAAATTCTTTCAAAAAGCTGCTTTTTCATCTTGGGGGAACATCAATGAATCTGCTTTCTTGGGTGATCTGCCAAGAGGAAGGGGCGTTTTTTATGGACCTAAGTTTGCAGCGTGAAAGTCGGGAGATCACGTCACTGCTGAGAAGAGCTACGTTTATTGAGTCGCTACTATGCTACTATACTGACATGGGCATCTTTAGTGGGGGTCTCACTGGTCCCTCGGTCTTTTCTCCTCAAGTACAAGAGGAGGAAACACGGGTCATAGGTTAATTCACAGCAAGGAGCCCTTCTATTCTTCGAAGCTTCCTAGACAGAGACTGTCAGGGAGAGGCTGTGGCCAAGGAGCTGGGTTCAGACCATTGCACTCCTCACCCTGTGCCCGGGCTCAGAATGCGTGTTCTGCTTGTCCCCAGCATCCCCCCACCCCAGCACTAGAAGATACCCCAAGGACACACCTTCCGATAGCAATGTGGGGGAGACACCAGGATAGCACACGTGACTGAAAACTAAGGCCTCCATACTGCTGACCTTGACCAACAGGGGCCGAGGGCCGCCCCCCACAGAACAGCCAAAAATCCAAGCATAATTAATATCCACAGGCTACACACCCTCAGGTTCGACGACTCACGATAGAGGCTGGCTGGATCAGGAATGCTCATCCGTGGGCAGAAAAACACCCACACGTGAGTGACTGTCGCAGGTCCTGTGATATAGCCTCCTAAGGTCCTGGGGTGGGTGTGCGGGTGGCCTGGGCTCGAGCCTCGTGTGTGATGGAAGCCCCCTGCTGGTTAGAGATGCCACCCACCGATCTGGGGGGTCTGCCTCTCTTTTGGGTCTTTCCTTGCCCTCTGCACGGGGCCAGCTGGGCCTGCCAGACACGGGAGGCCCATGCAACCAGCACCATCTCAGGAGGACAGTGGGTGGGGTCTGAGGAACTCCCGTGAATGGACATCAAAAGCAGCAGAGAGAGGCCTCATTCAATATCTGACGACAAATGTGTCTCACCAACGCACAGATTAAATAGAGAATAAATTTTAATGGAGCACCAGTGCTATATAAAAGATACAGTAGAAAAATGAACCCAGCTGCAGCGTCCCTGAGAATCCAGAAAGGTGGGCTCCGAACAGCCATCGGCCCCACTGAGCTGAGGCTGTTTTGCAGACCTCGGCAGTCGGCAGGATGTTACAGCCTCCAGTGTCGGTCCTCCTGTCTTAAATATTTCCATTTCTCCCAGTTAAAACTTGCTCCTTATATGAGTGCATCTAAGAGGCTGAGTTCAGTCAGTTGTCAACAGTTTTTTAAACCATTGAGGCCTGTATAAAGCAGCAACTTCCCAAGCTGGAGTGTTTTTGCCAAGTGAGCCTTTAAAATCTACCTCTTTGGCTGTTTTGATGTTGTCCTGGCGTTTTAAGAGTCCCAGATACAGGGCCTGCTCAGGTGGTCTCAGTACGTCTGTGGGTCTGGTTGCCCTCAGAGGTCGACGTGAGTTGGGGGTTGCTCTGGGTGCTGGGGTGTGTCTCCTCCTGACACCAGCTCAGAGGAGCCAGGGTTCTGCTTGCTGCTTTCAGAGACCTCTGCAATCACACTCAGTTTGTCAAAATCTTCATTTTCGTCAGAGAGCGGGAAGGTGAAAAACAGAAGGGGGCTGTTCTGAGGGTGGCTGAGAAACTGCAGGAGAAACAAAAAAAGGTAGTTAATTATCAATTTTCCCTATTTCTTTTTCTGGGTTTATAAAGATTTTATATAGAGCTCCTAGCTGGAAAACACTTGTTTTGAAAAATGCAACAAGAACAGGATGATAGTTCCTCAAAAAATGAAAAACAACATATGATCCAGCAGTTTTATTTCTGGGTGTATCCTCAGAAGAGCCGGCTGCACTGGAGTCAGTGTTTCCCAGCAGCCAATGGGGAAACACCCCAAGGGCACACTGGCGCTTGAGTGGACAAACAAGTGTGGTGTATTGTCGGGTGTTTTTTAACGATGGTGGTCGCCATAGGCTGCACCATAAGGTCTCGGTGTGCTGCACCATGCAGATTTGTGGAATTACACTCAGTGTTGTGTGCACAATGAAACTGTCTAATGATGCATGTCTCAGAACCCATCCCTGTTGTAAAGTGAGGCCTGACTGGATACATACAGTGGAATACTATTCAACCATGAAAAATAATGAAGTACCCAACTCTTGGAACAGTGAAGGTGTAAATGTTTCCAGAAATATCTGCTGGTTTGATAGTCTCCATTTTTTATCCTCCTAGGCCTGCCAATCCTCTTAATCTTCAGGTTAAAAGAGATAAGCACTCTTTAAAGTTTTGCATTTTTAACTGCTCTCCCCTAGTTTTACTCCTAAGTTCCATCTCTAATGGTTCAGTCTGCTCTCCTCTTTTTTTTTTAAAGAGGCATGTTCTATTTATTTATTTATTTATTTGTTTGTTTGTTTGTTTTGTTTATACATGCACTGGGTACAGTCAGAAGCGTGGGAGGGTGAGAGAATTCACCAGAGCCAGAGCGGGGAGCAGAGCAGGCAGAAGGACCGAAGGACACTGCTGAGGGGAGCAGCGGGCGGCAGGAGAGGTCTGCGCACCATGCGGGACCCTCCTCCGGTGGCCGGGGAGCAGCCGGGGAACGAACCAGCGCTGCAGAGGCTGCGGGCAGCTTCGCAACCCAGCGCTCAACCGCTGCGCCACCAGGGAGGCCCCAGTCTGCTCTCCTCTTAATGTGATCTCCACACAGCCCTTTGATAATGATGGGTGTCAGGGGCGCCCTCCATCTTGAGCTGCTGATTGATGAAAGGGAAGGGCAAGAGGATTGTGTCCAGATATATGCTGGGCAGAGGAGGAGCTTGGGAAGGAGGGATGTCTCCCAATTCTCCAATTCAGAGGATTTGTAAGAAGACACTAGAAGCTCTCCTCTGTTCCTGGGGAACAGAGAGATAATAAAAGAAGTGGTGCTAAATCTGAAGAACGCAAACCGTAGGCTGGTCTCCTAGCTGGACACACAGAAACTGGTGTCTGGCTCAATCAATCAGTGCTGGGTAAACCTCCCTATTGCTTTTTCAACTAAAAGTCGCCACCCCCAAATCTCCATACAGTCAAAAGTATCCCTGGGCCATGTTAATAGATTCTCTGGTGTGTCAAACTGGGTCACTGTGATGTGAGGACCTGATCTGCTCAGTTTCCTGGTGCTTCCTGAGCCTTCCCCTGGTCTCATTTCTCAGTGATGGTAGGACCAGCTCTACAGAGACGTCTGCCAAGGCTCTGGAGCACTGGGCTCATCCCCACAGGCCCCTCTACTGTGCTCTGATTTGGCCTGGAAGGAAGCACATTGGCCCATCTGTCTTTTCCTGGCTGGTCTCTGATGGCAAAGTCAGAAGCAAAATTAGCTGGTAAATAGCTTTGTTTCCTCTTGTTTCTCCATTTACAAAACACCTTTGCCCAGAGCCAAGAACCATCTTTTGTTCCTCCTGCTGAAATATAACTTCTGGAAGATTCTTGGTTCCTTCTGGGCAGCTGTTTCACTGCATGGTTAGAAGCTTCTAGTCTCTCTGAAAGCCTTGCTGATGCCCACATGTCCCACCTCCTATCCATGTAGCCCTTCATGGGGGTGGGGGTGGAGGTGGGGTTGTGGGGGCTGCCCAGCTTCCAGGAACACCGGCTCTGAGATGGCTCACAGCCAATTCCCTGTCCTGGACCTGCGGAGGGAGCTGCCTCTGCCAAAAGGATGCGCAGAGATGTTCAGGGGCCCCATGCAGCAGGGCATGCCGGGACATCCTCTCCTAAGTAAAGGCCTAATGATGGATTCTCACCCCTCCCATCAAGGAGCACGTCCCACACCTGGAACATGATGCCACTGTGTTTACAGGGTGACAGAGAAGGTCGGGTGAGCATGGCCCGGACACACCGCCTGCTGGCTGATGCTGGTGTGTGAGGGCTGGCACTGTCTCCCCATGACAGCATGCTCACTGACCCCAAGAACAGGAGGGCTGTGTGTCTTGGTAGGTCTGCAGTGGGAAAAGACGGGATGGAGCTTGTGACAAGGCCAAGATGGGACTCGCCCTCGCGAGTGACTGTTGTTCTGGGGCCAGACCCTGCCACCTGCTGCAGGGAATTAGCCCCTAATGGAAAAACAGCTCCTGCAGCCCGGTGGGGGGCTGACTGGGCAAGACATCAAGTGATGGTCACCCAGGAGTGAACATCCTGAGACCTGTCAGACCCTCTCGGATGGGATCAGAGGGTGCAGGTGCAGCGGCCTCCACACCACCCCTCTGGCCACTGCATGTCTCACACCACAACCTCAAGGGCAGCCTTCAAAGTGGCTGCACCATCTCCCATTCTCACTAACTGTGCTCCTCTCTCTGTCCCATTTACTCCAGAATTTGCATCCACGCAGATTGTCTCCATCCACGAAGACTCCAGAGTTGTCTTCTGGTGGTAAAATGTCCTTCTCCCAGGGAGGCCCTCAGCTGAGGGAGCTGCTGCACCCCCTTGTGGGAGAGCCCTGCCCAGCCCATGGTTAATCTGGGGTTCAAAATGCCTCAGCTTGGTCCTCTTTTCAGAGCCCTGCGGGAATGGCTGAGGTCACGGATGTGAGTGCCTTACGGCTCAGCCTCTCTCCCCCTCCCTGCTGCTCTTCCTCCCTCAGAGGTTGCTCCCCAGGGGTCTCCCCAGAAAGCCTTTTGAAGGTGAATCTCCATCTCAGCATCATTTCCTGGCAAGTGAGACCAAAGACAGTTTCTTTTAGGGCCGGGCATGTTTCTCCTTTAAGTGTTAGTACAGACCCAGAATTTCATTTCTTAAGGCCTCCGAGTCTTTCAGTCTCCATCCAGGTACTTTCTTCTTTCTAAACCTTTTGAAAATAGTTTTCCTAAAGTGTAGGACACAAAGTCCTGACTGCAGATAACCTCAGACTGAGCGCGCCTGTATCCCAGCCTCTTCCCTCTACCTGCTGCTCCCCGCTGTGACCAGCCTTCCTTTCTCATCTTGTCCGCTCTGAGCGCAGCCTTTTCTCTTCCTGTCCCAGACTATCTCTTTTGTTCTCTGCAGACTTCAGGTTTTAGACCAGGAGGCTGGGGAAAGGGCTTCTGGAACAAACCTGCTGCGCTGTTACTTAGGCGCCGACTTAGAAGGAAATGCTGATCACTTGGGATTTCACAGCCATCTTGGCTCCGTCCTATTACCTACCTCTTTCAGGTGCTGAGGAAGAGTGTTCCTGGGGGAGAAGGTGTACTTGGTCTTCTTGTAAATGCACCACAGCAGGGCGAAGCAGCCGAACAGCAGGAAGGCCACACACACCGAGACCGCGAGGACCACAAGGCCGATGATCCAGGAGGCGAGTGTCTCTGCGGGGAAGGCGGGGGTTTCATTCCTGTCACATCTGGATTGGCCCAGGCAACCCAAGCACTATTTTCACCCTCACAACCCAATGCAATCCCCCCAAACAGGGCCACCTCCTTGGAGGACCCATGGAGGGAGCTGTGTAAGGATCCAGAGGTTTCCAGCAGGCTTAACCACTTTCCCACCTTCTTCCAAGTCTGGGTTCTGTCACGCTTGCTGATGCGCACAACAGGAACAGCAAGCAGGAGCTCTGCTCTGCCTGGTCTACCTGAGGGTAACAGGGCCTTCCTGATCTGGATAAACCTCTTCTGCTTTGAAGCAGTAAGTGGGGCTTGCTTGGGACCCAGATCCTCGAAGAAACCCACAACTGCTCTCTGTACTGAGAACTGCAAAAGCTCTCAGCAGGGATGACTGCACCCCAACCCCCCGCTCTCAGATCCGTGACTTTAGTAACTGTGCAGTGCAGAGTCTAGGCCCCTGTTTTGCAGATGTGGCTGAGACACAGGGCAGCTCAGAGCTGATCCCATGTCCCATGTGATGTCACAGGGGAAGGACGGGACACGGGGGTGACCGGGGAAGGCAGATAAGGTAGGCATCCTTCCTTGGCCTGAGCTGGCTGAGCTTCTCGACGTCTTTAAATAAAAAGGCCTGCTGTTTGTGCGCAGACATGGAGGCCATGGGCATGGCTCGTAAGCAGTGCAATGCAGCTGTGTGTTCAGGAATCCCAGGCCCTAGGGCAACGGCCCTCCTGGCCTTTCCTCCTCGCTGTGTTCCGTTTTTTTCTTTCTTTTACTTTTAAAGAAAAAAGTCCATGTGGTTTACATCTTATGAGAAGGGCCATTGAAGTGCCAGCACCATATTTCACAAGGTACCCTAAAGTAAGTAGTGCCTGCTGAGGTGAACGTCTTGTAACATGTCCCTGGTCTGGCAGGCAGGGAGCAAAGTTGTCTGCACGGATTTAAAGGCAGCACAGCCTCTGCCCTGTTCTGAAGCAGAAATGCAAAAGTTCTCTGCCTGTGGCTAAAACAGCCTTTCAAGCCCCACTAGTGACTCAGGAGCTGGTTCAAGGAGATTAACCCTGGACACCCAGCCCTCCACAGTGCGGTCTTCAGAACTCAGGGAAGAGATTCACAGGCAGTGTCGGAATCTCTTGAGGCAAAAGTTGTTTAGTTGTTTAGGAAGCCACCCTCTCACCCGCCAACAATAATTACATTCTCGCTGTCACTGACGCACTGCTCTACCTATATAAGCCAAACTCGGACTTGTGATGGTGGGAGCAGCCCTCACAGAAGCCAATCCGTCTAAATGCTTCCTGGGTTCGAATCCTCACTTTGATGAGCTAATAATAAACCCTCTGTCTAACTATTGTTGACATTTATTCTAGTTAATACTGAGGAAAGTGAGAGCATTCCAAACTTTTCCTTCTCATCTTGTACCTGAAGGGACTGGAAACATGGAACCAGGGACAGAAAGGTTTCCAGGGCATGTGACAGGCTTGACCTCTGCTAGGTGGTGTTGGGAGGACGGATGAGACTTGCTTCCGGGTGCCCAAGAGGACAGAGTGAGCACAGAGGGTGGGCCAAGGCTTCTGGGACATTGGACACTTCCATGAATGCCTCTGGTCTAAGGGGGAGCCAGCTGCCTGGGAAGGGAGTGCCTTCCGGCCCAGCAGGCAGCAGCCGGGCTGATGGGGGCCTGAAGACTAAACTGGGTGTGGATGTCTAAACAGCTGCCCAATCCTGCCGCTTAGCAGGAGTCTAGAAGGATGTCAAGTGCTGGGAGGAGGCAGGCGCCAGAGGACTCACTGTCTTCCGCTGTCTCCTTACACACAGGCTCGCTCCATTCCCCAGTTTTGTTCCAATCAGGAATAAGCACTTGAGCCCGCACACAGTAGGCTGTCCACGGCTCCAGACCTTTGAGGATCTCGGAGTCATAGTGACAGTTAACGGAAACCTGGGAAAGAAGACAAAAACAAGACAATGCTCAGCAGTGAAGGAACTTAGACCAAACTTAGACCACCTCCCACAGTTATAATCTTTAATTTAGGCTCAAAATAGGAAACTGAACGAAGCAGCTGCTTCTCCCAGCTCATTTTGGGGGACCCTGAGACTATTTTAAGGGACCGGCAAGGATGGCAGTCCTGACCAACCACCTCATTTCCTGAATTCTCTTTATTTATTTATTTATTTTTTAAATAATAAATTTTATTTTTATATTCCCCATACAATTGCAACCCCCCCATTCTGATCCCAATCCCTCCCCTCCCGCCCCCCACCCCCCCAAAAGTGTCTCTGTTTCATAGTTTTTTGTTGATTCTGATTTTCACTTTCTTATAGTTATTCATTTTCCTGGTCCCTTATTTAAGTTTTCTAGATTCCTGCTATGAGTGAGACCATCCGGTATTTTTCTTTTTCTTTTTGGCTTATTTCACTGAGCATGATCCCTTCCAGCTCCATCCATGTTGCTGCAAATTGCATGTGTTTATCTTTTCTGAATGCTGAGTAATATTCTATGGTGTATATGGACCACATCTTCTTGATCCAGTCATCTATTTTTGGGCATTTGGGTTGTTTCCAAAGCTTAGCTATTGTAAACAGTGCTGCTATAAACATAGGGGTGCAGGTGCTCTTTGGAATTGATATTTCTGTGTCCTTTGGGTAAATACCTAGGAGTGGAATTGCTGGATCCTATGGAAGCTCTATGTTTAGTAGGTCCAGAAATCTCCACACAGCTCTCCATAGTGGTTGGACCAGTTTGCACTCCCACCAACAGTGCAGAAGAGTTCCTTTTTCTCCACATCCTCACCAACATTTGTTGTTGCTAGGTTTTTAAGACTATGCATTGGAGCAAAGAAAGTTTGTTCAATAAATGGTGCTGGGAAAACTGGGTCGCTACATGCAAAAGAATGAAGCTTGACCACTACCTCACACCATACACAAAAATCAACTCAAAATGGATTAAAGAACTAGACGTAAGACCTGAAACCATAAAATACATAGAAGGAAATATAGGCGAAACACTACGTGATTTGCACATCAAAGACATCTTTACAGACACATCACCCAAAGCAGTGATAGTGAAGGCAAAGATCAACAGCTGGGACTACATCAAATTAAAGAGCTTCTGCACAGCAAAAGAGACAATAACAAAAACAAAGGGAAACCCCACCAACTGGGAGAACATTTTTGCACACAACACTAATGATAAAGGACTGATCACAAAAATCTGCAAAGAGCTGATGAGACTCAACAACAACAAAGAAAATAATCCAGTCAAAAAATGGGCAGAAGAGCTAAAAAGAAACTTCTCTGAAGAGGAAATGCAAATGGCCAACAGACATATGAAAAAATGTTCAACATCACTTGTAATCAGGGAAATGCAAATCAAAACTACCATGAGATACCATCTTACACCAGTGAGAATGGCACATATTAAAAATCCTGAATTCTCTTTAGATGACATCAAACCCACCCCACTTCCTCTTTCAACAAGGTAGACCGAAGATATGGTGCCCCCCAGTGGTCCCCAGTTCCTATGTTGATGCCTTACCTCAGTGCCTTAGAAAGTGGCCTTAGTTGAACACAGGGTCTTTACGGGGGTAATCAAATTAAAATGAGGTGGTTGGGGAGAGCTCTAATCCAGCGTAACTTGTGTCCTTACAAGGGGAATTTTGGACACAGGCAAGCAGGGAGGATGAGGGAAGACATGGGGGTGATGCTTCTCCAAGCTAAGGAACCAAAGATGGCCGGCAAAGCCCAGAAGCAAGGGGAGAGGCCTGTGGACCTCTTGGACCTCCCCCTCCAGAACCTTGAGAGTCCATTTCTGCTGAAGCTGCCCGTGGGGGGACGCTGTTACCGCAGCACTGGCAGGGGACGCAGTGCCCATCAACAGCGAGTGCAGTGTGATTTTCTTTTTAAGTGTGTGCTGCCCGGGCTGCCAGGGCTCTCCTCTGAATGACTTCTCCACTCCCGTAGCTGGCTGACCTCCTCCGACAGCCCCGGCCTCGAGGGGGCACCACAGCCTGCCTCTGGGCCCCCCCACCCCGCCCCACTCATTTTAATTAATTTGAATATAAGCTGTCATAATATATTCTGAATTTGAGAAACCAAAAGAGTTTCTGGCAAAATAAAAGGAATTAAAAGAGCAAACACTGCCTGTGTTGCTATCATGGTTATAATTTCCTTATCGAAGGGCCTGTCACATGAGCTGGAATGTCAACAGAAAGCGAGCAAACCTTTTCTTACTTCAGTAACTGTTTATTTTCTTTTGGGCTTAGGGTTGTTGATAGCTTGGCCACATTTCTCTTTGTATGAGATGCTAAGCTCATTGAAGGTAAGCTGGATTATACTAAATGAAAACATGAAGAGTTTGGTCTAAGTTCTAACAGAAAAAAAATCCCTCCCAAAGTCCTGGCTTTCATTTCTAAAACCCCAATGCCTCTCAAGCCTTGTTATTCTTGGAAGACTAGAGAAAATGCTATTTTTTCAAAGACTGAATCCAGAGGCTGATCCATGGGTGGGAGGCAGCGAGGAGGGCAGCCAGACAAGAAGGGCCAGCACAGATGCCCTCCAATGGATATTTTCTAGACTTCATTCACTTCTGGGCAACCTCTAGTTTTAGCTTCACTGTCTCCTACCAGGAAGAAACAGGATTTTCAAACGACTTTTATGCTGTTAGTTTAGGGACCCGATAAGGCAGCCTTTCAGAAATGTTTGCATTTTAAAAAGGAGCCTCTGTCTTCATCCATCAGGGCTGCTGGAACAGAATACCACAGATGGTGCGTGTCACAGTTCTGGAGGCTGGGTAAGCCCAAGGGCCGAGCTAATTTGGTAGATCTGGTGTCTGGTGAGAGACCTGTCTGGGGTCTCATTTCTGAGGGTGCTAATCCCACTCATGAGGGCTCCACCCTCATGACCTCATCAACTCCTGTTGCCCCCCACCACCTCCTTATACCATCACACTGGGAGTTAGGTTTCCACATATGAATTTTGGGGACACAAACATTCATTGAGTAGATCATAAACTGGCAAAGGGGACCATGCAGGCATGAGGAAGGAAGGAACCAGGTTGCAGGCAGCCTTTCTGGCTCTTAGTACGAGTCATCTAAGGCTCCAAAGGCTGAAGAGAGAGGACAAAAGTACAACCAGATGCTTGTGCCATGGGCATCTTCTAGATAAGAAGCTAAAGATAAGCTGATTTTCACATTCAATGTTTGGTGCAGGAGGCACTCAGGCATTGATCGACTCAGTTCCAGCACACTGCTGATACTGCCAGGGGTTCAATCCTGACCCTCTGATACATGACCATGAAACTCACTATTTGTATTGTGTTTTATGTTTACATTTCCTGGGCTCTTACTGTAAGCAAAATTGTGCTTACAGATGTCAAGTCAGCAGATCTCCTCCCTCATTTAATGGAACATTTTTTTGGGGGAAATCAATTTGCAATTTTGGGGGGTTATGCAAAATGTATGTGTGTGCGTGTGTGTGTATATATATATATATATATATATATATAAAAATTTAATTCATCATCTCTAAGACAACATACATGAGTGACCCCTTCTTTCTAAAGTCTTGAGAATGAAGGAATGAAACCCACATTTAGCACAGAGGGGATAACATAAGTAAGCTACACACCATAAATGTAAGTCAGTTTAGGGCACCAGTGGTGCTCATATTACATGCACTAAGTATAAGAATAAACTTGACCAAGAGTGAATGAAAAGAGCTTTAACATGTCTACAGAAGGGGGAGGGCACCTCATGTGTAAATCACATATACTGTTCAGGACAAGTTCATTGTCTTAACATTATGTCTTTAAATTCCTACTGCTGTTACTATATAGGCTATTACCCGCAATCTATGAATGAAGTAGGTTAGTATGCCTGCTTGGCAGACATGAGAAGCTGTGGTCAAGAACGTGACATAGTCCCACAGTGGCTGGGGCATCCTTCCAACCCAGCCTTCCCACACCCGGCTCATGTTTTTAAAGGAACTGACCTTGAAGAGGAGGTGGGGAATGGGGAAAGTGGGACCAGACAGGTAAATTGTGACACTTCATCCAGCGTCCAAGGGGAGCTATTGACTGTGGACGTGTCTATTCTGTGGTGTGTGGACATGGCGGTCGATGCAGGAACCATGAGCTGATCACCTGACTCAGTGGAGTCCTAGTTCCCTGGCCTGCTGCTGAGTCAGTTCTGCTTCTCCTGTGACTTCCCCTCAGGGAGGGCAGGGCTCTGACGGGAATCCCAGCCCAGCAGTCTGCACCATACAGTTCCCATGGGGCCTGGGAAGCGTAAACTAGAGGTACCAGACTCCACACAGACTGGGAAGCTGGAGGTGCTCAAAGGACCAGGCCTTGAATCCTCTACACTGGAAGGTGCTGCCACCTTGGCAGACCCGGACTGGTGGCCTCCTGGCCACCTTTCTGTGGTCATGGCTTCAGGCCAACACTAGCAAAGATCAGGGAGTCTATGTCTAAAATGCATATGATTTGCCAAGCTTACCTTTTCATCAGAGCCGTTTTTCCAATATTGCACATTGTAAATCCATAAATTATAAATATCCCTCATGGTCCATGCTTCAGGTTCATTATCAATTTTGGGGGAAAAGAGGCGCACATGCAAAGAATTAGCAAGTGCATCTACGTGCATTCCAGGAGGTCCAACAATGGCTAAGCATGAGAACAAAGCAAATGACAATCAAAAAAACATATTTTAAGTATGCTGATATTTATTTACCTAACTGCACAAGCAATTGGTCTATTTGAGTACTCTGCTCTTGGATACACCATTGCTATGACAACCATTGCTATCACACTGATTATGGGCAGGAAGGATAGCTGGGGGTTTTATTTCTTAAAACCTGATAACCTTTGTCTTTATTAATTAGGTTTAGTCCATTTATATTTATTGTGTTTTCTGATATATATGGGATCATTCCAACTACATTATTTGTGTAATTTTGGGGAGAGGGGCTTGTCTCCTTTCTTTCTGTTGGGTGAATTTATTTATTTCCTTTTTGGATTAGAAGCAATAAAGCAGATTCTTTTTTCTTAGTGTTTAAAATATATAATTAACCATACATATTTTCCAACAAGGTGGGAAACTGTTCCCCCTTGAATGTTCTTTGACTGGAAATTCATGTCACTCGCCCCTTCACTTCATGTAGGTGTTGGTTCAAATGCCACCTCTTCAGAGCGTTGCATCTTTCCACCCTATGTAAATGAGTTCCCATCACTTCCTGCCCTGCTACCTTGCTTTATTTCCTTAAGAACCACAGTCATTATCTGTCATATCATAAGCAATGTATTTGTTTATCTGTGACCTTCCCCATTAGGATGCATGCTCCATAGGGGAGGGATTCTAGTATACAGCCAGCACTAAGATGTGCTTGGCACAGAGCAGGTGCCCAATAATGGCTGTAGAAAGAATAGTAACTGTCTTGGAGCAACCACACTGGGTGCTGTTTCTTTTTGGGGGTTGCTAGAACGCTTCTGGCATTCTACCCCATTTCTAATCTGCTGGTGGTTGAAGACTGGATAAGGAAGCTTATTAGCTATTTTTCCAAAGCAACTTTAAATAAGTTCCACATGACATCTTGAAACACTTTATCACTAAAAGAGACAAACTTCAAAAGGCAAATATCCAACTTGTAGACTAGTTGTGGGAAAACAAATCTGTGGCATTTGTCAGCTAGTAAATAGCCACTGTAGGGAATTGCAGCTAAGAGCAGGGAACCAGGACCCTGGTTCTGAACCCTTACTGTTTGATCTTAGACAAACTGCTTAACCCCTTTTTTTTTACTAGTTTTTTTTTTTTAAAGATTTATTTATTTATGCAAGAACTGGGGTATAGGCCAAATGTGTAGGAGGGTGAGAGGATTCACCAGAGGCAGAGTGGGGAACAGAACAGGCAGATGGACAAAATACACTGCTGAGGGGAGCAGTGGGCAAGACAGGAGAAGTTTGCTGTGCCATGTGGATTGCTCTGTGGCTGGTGGGGATCGAACCGGCACTGCAGAGGCTGCGGAAAGCCTTGCAGCGCTGGGCTCAACCCACTGCGCCACCAGGGAGGCCCTGCTTAACCCTTTTGGATCTCTTTCTAAAGGAAACTTCCAAAGATGGGCCGGAAACTAGGATTTGGAAAGAGTTAGAAAATAGGATTTGGAAAGAGGTAGGCCAGGGAGCAACCACAGAAGCAGACACCTGTGCTATGCTTGGAGCCTTAACTATCGTTAAGTTGTATTTTTTAATGCACACTTTTTCCCCCAGTTGTTATAAAGATACTTTTAGAAAATATAACAATAATTTCTGACTCTAGAAATAAGAGTTTAAAAAATTATTTTTGCTTGAATCCTAAGAGACAGAATTGGGAAGGGGCAGAAGGGCTGCATTTTTTTTTTTAAAAAAAGATTTATTTATTTATGCATACAAGAACTGGTGTACAGGCCAGAGGTGTGGGAGGTGAGAGGATTCACCACACAGAGTGGGGAGCAGAACAGGTGTACTGACTGAAATACATTGCTGAGGGCAGCAGCAGGGGAGACAGGAGAGGTCTCCTTTGCCATGTGGGTTAACTCCCTGGCTGGGGATCAAACTCATGCTGCAGTGACTGTGGATAGCTTGATAGCATTGCGTTTTTAACCCCTGCGCCAGCAGGGAGGCCCAGGGCTGCATTTCTAGCTGCATTCCTGACCTGGAAGGGTGAAACTGTGGGAGCTATGGGGGTCTCGAGCAGGGGAGGGTACAAAGACAATCCTAATGCTCCAGCTATTCCTTGGAGGCACACTTGAGCTTCCTTAGTGAAGCTTTGTAACCCTTTATCCTCTTGACCCTCTCAATGGCTATGTGGCTGCTTAATTCACTTTCAGTTCCTGGTGTCTCAGTTATGTCTGTCTCATGACCTCTGGTGAGTCCCCATGACCATCCAGATCTAACCTGGGAACGTTCTTTTGGATGCTTACCACCCAGTCTGACGCAACGCATCTGCCATGAGCTATCTCCATTTCTCAGTTGTTTGTTCTGGGCAAGTTGGCTGTCTGCATCTGGTCTCTCTGTCTCCATGCTTGCCTAGACAAACCCTGACATTTCTGCCTACTGAGTCAGATTTCTTTGAATCACAATTTCAAACTGACTTCCTCCCAGAAAATGTATACATTAACCCTCCCAGTTTCTCTCATTAACAGCAATGCCCTCAACAAAGCATGAACATTAAGTGTGTATTTAATTATCTTCATGCCTATCCTTTCCTGCCTCTCCCCTAACTTCTTTAAAGTCACAGCCCTCTTTACTATATTTTCTAGTTTATTCCCTACTACATTCCTTAAGTGTCTTGTGTGAGACCATCCACTTGTGTGCGATTGCAAAATTATTGCTGACAGACCAACCCACGGGGAAAGCACCGAGGCAAGATGACAGCGTAACAAGGAAGTGGAAACGAAGAAGCTTACTTTCCTCTATGGGATGAAAGGTGATGTTCACCCAGTCTGAATGATCATCTGCGAATTCAGCCCTCACTCTCAAGGTGTGGTCGCCATACTTGGAAAGACTTGAGAAATCGCACGCCGTGATGTTAGTACTCTTGCATATGTCTTTGAACGACGTGGAAAAACTACAAAATTGGAAAGATAAAATTCATGAGTTCCAACTCCAGTCTCTCTGAGGCTGTTGGGTGCCTTAATTGTCCCCTGCTACCCAAGGAGAATGAGAGAAAGGTAAGGCAAGTCCTTCATCACTGATTTTCATGAGAGGTATGCATGATTTATGTTAGCATTTTCCAAACTGCTCCAAGGGGCCCAACTGATTCTTCAACTATCATAAAAGGTTTCAAAAACAACCTGTCCCAAGATCAAACAATTTGGGGAAAAAAAGTGAAATATAAACAAGTGTCTGTCTTCACAACAGAACTCAGAGGCGTACACATCCTAATAAGCACATGCTCCTCCCCACCCCCGAAAAAGGTGCTGAGTATTGAACACATTTGACCAGGAAACCTTCCTTTTCCGATTGTGTACTTCTGAAAGCAGTGGGACATGGTTTGTGAAATACTTATATACACAGATGAACCAAAATAAGTATATGACAACTTCAAGTCACATCCAAACAATGACTTTGGTTGCAGCTAGAAAAATGATAAAAACAATTCGTTGACCTTGTGTCCTGTTACCAACCACTGAAGGGGGCGGGGGTGGCAGGAACCAGAAGAGGAAAACATTTGACATTTGGGAGTACCTACTGGTGTACGGGAGTTCATGTCGGCCTCGGGAGGGGTTATTAGCCTAAGGAAGAACAGGATCAACTCCTGCTAAAAGTGAGGATTCTGTCCTCACTTCCCATATAGGGCCCAGTCTTTGCACAAAAGCCAATTTAGCTGCACTCACCGGTGACAATGAAGGTGATGGTGATAAATATAAAAACAGCCAACACTTAGCGCCAGGAAGGGTGCTAAGCTATATTTTGAATTTTCGCAACCCTAGGAGGACAAAACCAAAATTCTCCTATTTTCTGAGGCAGAGGGTAGGAAGCCCAAGGCCTTGTCCAACATTACTGAGTCTGGCTGACCTCAGAGTCTGCAACTTTACACACCATGCCTCACTGCATCCTTAGGATGCCCAGAAAAATCTCTGGACAAAAGGTGGTCAGGATAACTGGGATCATTCTCTTTTACAATCTGCTTTTTCACTTAATGTACCACAGTGTTTCATTGCTCAATCCAACCTTCCTGGCCACCTGGCATGCCAACATTTGGAAAATGCAGGGGTCGTGTTAATGAATGTGGGTTTTCTCATGTGACCCATTTGCTTCATTTAAACTCAGGCATCCATTGGCTGGAACACAGAGTATTTAAAAAGTTGCTTTGAAATTCCTTCTCTCTCACTAGGTCATGATGATTGGATTTGCAATACTATTCTCCCCATTACAATGTAGTTTACATCTACTTGTTCTAGATGTTTCCATATTAAAATCACCAATCCATTCCCAAAAGTGCCTCTCCCCTGGCTGCCCCTGCCCAGTGCTACATAACTGCACAGGCTGAATTCTAAACACTCCTTGCACAGACACAGAAGGGTAATCCGATTTTTCAGGATCAAATGTCTGTCCCAGAGACACAGCCAGGACATGTCCTGGGAATTTCCCCAGCACATGCCATGTTCCACCTGCTCTTTCATGCTAAGGGGACCTGGACCCCAGCCTCAAGCTTTGTGACACATTATGAACTCAAGAAATGTTCTGGGAAAGCCCTCCCTGCTCCAGCAGACAAGAGAGCAAAGCCACCTGCAGAGACTTGCAGTCTGAGGAGCAGCTGTATAACATCTGCTGCCTGCGGGTAAATTACATTTTTCAACCCCTACAAATGACCAAGTAGCAGGATAAGGAATATTCAAACCCAACCCTATGTCTCCTTGATGTCTCCAGAAAGGACGAAATTAAGCCCCAGCATTTGTTTTCCTCTGTGCAAAGAAAGTTCAACTTGTATCTAAGTCAAATAACTTAAGATCAGAAGCCACATTGCTCAGAATGATGATATTTTTGATGTTAGTGACTCACTGTTCCTACCTATACAAACTCAAGTCAAATTTGTGATGGCTGGAATATAGTTCCCACAGACTCAAATCTGTCAAACTGCTTCCCTGGTTCAAGTCCTTACCTTGACTATCTAATAAATTTGTTGTCTATCACGGAAACTTCTTGAAGTTAACCCAGGGAAGTCACTGGGAACTCTCATCTAAAATAATAATGCCCCCAAACAATACCTCTACACAATGGGCAAGAGGTGATGAACGGAGTAAGAAGTAAGTTACAGGGAGAGAGACAGATAGCAAGGATAGCAAGGAAAGTTATTAAATATCACAGTGAAATCTCTAGAACTCTGAAGGCTGAGTGGAGAAAGCACAGAGATGAAATTATAAATTTCCATCAGTGCTGGAAAATATACCACAGGAATGGCGCGCAGACCTCTCCTGCCGCCCGCTGCTCCCCTCAGCAGTGTACTTCGCTCCTTCTGCCTGCTCTGCTCCCCGCTCTGGCTCTGGTGAATTCTCTCACCCTCCCGTGCTTCTGACTGTACCCAGTGCTTGCATAAATAAATAAAAAATAAATAAATAAATCTTAAAAAAAAAAAAAAATATACCACAGGAAAAAACAAGTCACAGAATGACCCATCCTAAGTCGCTGGGAAAATAGACAAACTAGAATATGGACTATAGATTAGACTAAATTATTATGTCAATGTTAACTTTTCCAATCTTGATTAAATGTACTAACTACAGTGTTGTAAAAGGTTATTCTTGCTCTTATGAACTACACAATGAACTATAAAGGGCAAAAGTCACAATGCATGGGAGGAGGGACAAAAGGTGGCTGTTAGAAATCGGTGAATCTGGATACAGGTGTTAACTTAAAAGTTCAGGAGGCCATTAAAAAAGAAAAAGAACATTATTTTGTATCAAAGAGTTATAATTCAGGGAGCACAGATTCAGGGAGAAACAGTGTCCCAAGGGGTAACAGAAGTCAGGGATTTTTTTATAGGAAAGTGGTCAGGCAAGAATCACAAGGTGAAATGGTCAGGTGGAGGTGACCCAAAGTAAAAGGAGGGACGATCCACTTTCCTCAGTTCTTTCAAACAGGACATTCTCATTCTTGTTGGCTTCTTGGAATGTTGGTCATTTGGCCAGGTGAGTGGTTGGGCCCAGTTTCAAAAGGACAGCAACATTTTTTTCTACAGTGGCTTTATTGGGTTCCTTTTAAAATGATTCCAGTGATATCAAATTTTCACATAGGCTACTGGGAAGTTCTTTGTACTGTTCTTGAAATTTTGAAATATTCTGTTGGCTTACAATCGTTTGGAACTCCAAAATTAAAAAAAACACAAAGACTATCTTATTTGATCTTTCTACTTCTCTCTTTTGGCAGTCCTCGATATGTCTGTAAAATGAAGGCTGGATGAGTCATGTGGACCCATGGGATCGGGCCCAATCTCCTTCCAGCACCCTGAAGAGCTTCCTTTGCTTGTTTCTGAGTCACACTGGATGCAGGTGTGTTGGTTCATCAGCCTTTGGCTTCCAGTTGCTGGGTGCACCTGGCATAAAGGCTTGTCATGTGCAGTCTGGCTGGGGTGTACAGTGCCAGGCTGCCAAGGGAGGGCTGGAGCAGGTAAAAGTGACAGGCAAGGCAAGTACAGGGAATGGGGCACAGCACTGAGATGATGATGTTGGGTGACACTCTTCCTTCACAAGCCTCCACTCTTTTCAAAGAAGAGAGATTTGAACAGCCAGTAGCTGTTTAGAATGGAGCTACAGGGTAACTGAGAATCCAGCATGCAAATCATCTGCACACAGCATGAGGGTAGGGGGAGTGAGGGGGTCGGGGAGGGATGCTGTTCTATTGAGGGGGCAGGGGTAAGATAGCAAGGTCTGCTTTGCATACTTCAGTTTTCTTCAATAGCCTCTACCGGTAAATAGTGGACTCTAGCAATGCCATCCTAATAAGTAGAGATGGTATCAGTAGCATTTTTCTCTTAAAAAACATCAATTATGACAAAGCCCATCCAGTCACATGGCAGTAAGTTGCCACCGTGGCCCCTGACATCCATCTCCTCATGATAAAATGTCTGTGTCTACCAGCAGCCCCATGATCATTACATGAAACACTACAAGAAAAAGTAAGAATCTTGTCTGCTTTCAGAGAACAGAGCTCTCTCAGATAGAAAGAAAAAGGCCCAGAGGGAGAATCCCTTTGGCGTCTGTGGTCATGCTGACTGTCACTGGACTGTCTGGTGACTCACCCAGGGCCCCTATCCTGTGTTGCCATCCTGCCCACGGAGCCCAAACCCACCTTTGGAACTGAACCGTGAAAGTCAGATTCCCGTTGGGTGAAGGTGATTCCCACTGCAGAATGTTCTTGAAATTAACTGAATTCACTCTGATGTTTTTGGGAGGTGGCACCATTCCCAGTGCTGTAAAAATAAAGGAAAAAGGTTTGCAATTTATTTTTTGAAAAGGTTGCTCAGGGCCTCCCCGGTGGGGAGCGGGTTGAGCATGTCACCGGGAAGCTGTCCGCAGCCTCTGCAGCACGGGTTCGATTCCTGGCCTGCCAGGGAGAAACCCACATGGTGCAGCAGACCTCTCCTGTCTCGCCCGCTGCTCTCCTCAGCAATATCTTCAGTCCATCTGCCTGTTCTGCTCCCTGCTCTTTCTGGTGAATTCTCTCACCCTCCCGCACCTCTAACCTGTACCCCAGTTCTTGTATAAATCAATCAATCTTTAAAAAAAAAAACAGAACTACCTATTATTAAAAAAAAAAGTTGCCCAAGGAAATGGCTGTATCAAGCAAGGGGTCTCCTTTGTCAAATGGGCACATGGGGGAGGGAGACACACACCTTAGAAACATGTGTTGAGGGACCGGGATATTATCTGAAGAACCACAAGAAGAAATTGCTGGGGCGTGGGTAGAGACTGAGAGGGGGGGTGGGGATCGAGAAGAGTGACCTGGGTTTGGGTGGTGGTAGAAAGGTGCGAGGGGCTGGGTAATGGATTTTAGATCAATTTCCAGAGGTATAAATGCTAGACTTCCTGATATATTTGGTATGGAGAAGCAGAAGTTAATAGCCAGCCTGGCTTAAGAACTGATGTCCTTATTGGGGCTGGGAAACAAAGAAATCAAAGGCCTCATTTTAGCTGCATTAGATATGAAATACTGAAGGAGATGCAAGCAGGAAAGTTAGAGACAGCTGGATTGAGCCCGGAGCCTAGGAAACAGAATTACCCCGGAGATAACATAAAATTTTTAAGCCTTTAAATAGAAAATGGCAAACATACACAGAAGTATCCAGAAGAGTATATAATAAACCAGCACTTGCCCATTACCCATGGAGTGTGAACAGAGACATAAACTGGGGAGTGTGGGCCACAGCTGGTATTTAATACCAGGGTTTGCTGAGCTACCCCAGTGGGAGAGCGTAGGGAAGCAGACCAGCCGCCTGGGGGAGCATTTGGCTGTAGAAAGATCTGGTAGTGGTGGAAGATCCCAGGTGCACACAGCTGCAGAGGGAGGAGCAAAGCCAGAGAGTGGAATGAAAGACCAGGGATGAGTCCATGCCTACAGGGGGAAAGGGAGGCGGAAGTCATGGTGTTAACTTTGAACCTGGAAAGGCAATTTCGATTAGTTTTCACTGCATTTAGAACTCAAGCCAAATGCAACAAAGCAAACAACGAACAATTATAAACAATTATAAACCAGAGATATCCTGCAGGGGAGGAGGAGGGAGAGGGATCAGAGGGAGCGAGGGAGGAGCACAGAGGCTGAGGTGATAGTGCACGGGTGCATGGGTGAAGGAAACTCTTTGGGGACTACACCTGAGGGGGTGGGGGGAAGCAAATATTGTTTAAAAATGAGCAGTGATGTAAAAAGTTAAAAAAAATGAAAAAAAAAAAAGTCAAGCCAGAAGAAAAAAACAAACTCAGAAGCTACAGAGTTGTGGAGTTGAGGGGCAGCATTCAGGTCTTGGGGTGCCCCACAGGAGGCTGCGGGAAAGTGAGGGTCCGTCCTCATGCGGAGGCGTCTCCCGAGAGGTCCGAGTGTAAGGAGAGCAGGGGGGTGCCCTGAGGTCGGGGGAGGCCTGAGGGGGCAGGTGGGAGGCCTCCATCGGACTCGGGTCTCCAGGGGGGTCTGATGACAGCAACGACAGGATGCTCTGGACCTTTCAGGAATTTTCAGAACCCGCGAGGGCGGGGAGAAGAGGGGTGAATATAAAGGGGTGACCCCCCCGGCGGGGTTTGTGATCCAGAAGGCCGGTCGTCCCTTAGTGGGTGGGGCTTCCTACTCATTCATGGGGCCGACGACAGCCAGTTAAAGCGTCTGCTTCTGCCTGACCCGCGCACTTGTCACTTTCAGAGCGATCCAACCGGGGTCCGTGGGATCCGACCAGGGGCCGCAGCCAGGGCCCCCGCCAGCCGCCCGGGTCCCCAGCGACCCTCGGGGCGGGATGCAGCGCGGCTGCACGTCCGGGTCCAAGCGCAGTAGCCCGCGGCCCCACCCGAGGCCCCTCACCTGACACCAGGAGGCAGCCGCCCAGCCAGGTCCGGAGGCTCCACGCCATGGCCGCGCCGGGAGAGGGGGAGGGCGGTGGGGGCGCCGCGGGCAGCCGCCGGGCTCACGTCCGGGCCCGCGACGGCCGTCCGGCCACTGCCCGCCGCTTCCGGGAGCGGCACGCCGCTGCCCCGCCCACGGCCGCTGCCCCGCCCACGGCCGCTGCCCCGCCCACGGCCGCTGCCCAGCCCCTGCCCAGGCGCAGCTCCGGCCTCTGGCCCCGCCCCTCACACTGCGCCCCGCCCCTGCCAGGCGCAGCTCCGGCCTCTGGCCCCGCCCCTCACTCTGCGCCCCGCCCCTGCCAGGGCCCCGCCCCAGACTCTGGCCCCGCCCCCACACTGCGCCCCGCCCCTGCCCAGGCGCAGCTCCGGCCTCTAGCCCCGCCCCTCACACTGCGCCCCGCCCCTGCCCAGGCGCAGCTCCGGCCTCTAGCCCCGCCCCTCACACTGCGCCCCGCCCCTGCCCAGGCGCCGCTCCGGCCTCTAGCCCCGCCCCTCACTCTGCGCCCCGCCCCCGCCCCGCCTCCTGCCCAGGCTCCGCGGTCCCCCGCTGGGGAAGCGGACCTCGCCCGGGTGGAAAGCCCCGGCGGTAAACAGGCTGCAAGACTGCGACTCGGAGCCCGGAGGGTAAAGCAAATGCGCGGACACACGTCCGCCTGGACGGTGCGCGCGGCGTGTCTTACCCCGCTCGGCAGCCCCTGCCCCCTCCCCCCCGCACCCCTCCGGCCGCCACCAGCCCCTCCCCGCGGGCGAGCTGGCTTGATGGCGCCCACGAGCAAACGCAGTGTGAGAGGGTCTTCGTGCCCCTTCTCCTCTCCCCCTTAGACCCAGCCATGCACAGGACAAAGTCATCTATGGCCGTGCCCTGCTTCTCTCGCAAGGTGTAATTTCCTCTTTTTGAACAGGAAAAGGGGGGCTGGAAACAGCCGGGGAAGTACTGGGTGACATAAGTGTGACCCGGTAGGTCTTTCACTCTGCCCAGAAGGCCAGACTGAGTCATGAGCATTGTCCTTCTGTTAGGGGAAAAGGCTGTCCTAGAGCTATTTCCATGCAGGCTTCGTGGACTCCACCCCCACCCCAGGCCAAAGCCAAAGACACCGGGAACTACAGATCCCATCACCACCCAAGGGAAGGGGGCTGGGACCTGAGGGTGGGGTTCAGCAGCCAGGTTGGTATAAAGCCAGACACGTGGGCTTTGGAGGGGTCCCCCATTTTGGCTCCCCGCCAGCTCGCAGCCCGGCCAGCTCTGAGAGTGCCTTCGGGTTTCCAGGTCGGCGGATCGGGGAGGACGCAGTAAAGACTTTATTTCCCTATTTTCTCCCTGAGTTGTACATTTTCCTTATTTCCTTTTCCCTTGTAAATAAACCTTTTATGAACCTTTTGTGTGTGTCTGTAGTGGAGTGTTAATAAGTCCCTTTTAAGCGCGGAGGTGAGGAACTGTTGTAGAGCAACCCCGATACAAAACGGGGTGCCTGACTGTGGGTCCTCACCCGCGCGCTTAAAGGGACTTATCAATGCTCCACTGCAGGCACACGCGAAAGGTTAATAAAAGGTTTATTGACAAGGGAAGGGGAAATGAGGAAATGTACAGCTCAGGGAGAAAAGTGGGAGACAAAGTTTTAAATGAGTCCTACCCGATCCCCCCATCTGGAATCCCAAAATGGCACCCTGAGAGCTGGCCGAGAGCCAGGAGCCGTGAAGCCAGGAGGCGAGCGACAGTGAACCACCCCAAGGCCCACGTGTTTGGTTTTTATACCCAACCTGGCTGCCCAACTCCACCCTCAGGTCCCAGCCACCTTCCCTTTGGTGGTGACGGGATTTGTCTTTCCCAATGTCTTGATGGCTTTAGTCTGGAGTGGGGGTGGGGTCCACGAAGCCTGCATGGGATTAACTCAGGACATCATTTCCCCCTAACAGACCCACAGCCAGGAACCCGTTCAATATCGGGGCTGCCCCATAACACTTACGTGGAGTGTTCCAGATGGCCCTTAAGAGACCAGGCCGGGCAGGGCCCAGACACCGGCCCCCCAGTGCTGGGGCCCCCCATGGTGGGAGGGCTGCCTTTTATAAGGGGGAAGGAATGTGAGGGGAGCGCAGGGCTTCAAGTCTGCAGGCCCAACAGGGGCCTGCGTCCAGGTGACATGAGTCCAGGTGTTCGACTGCCCCCGCAGGGAGATTTCTCAGCAATCACTGATGTCTGTTTCCGATGCCGCCATCAACCCCAGAAGGACACGGAGAATTTTATTAGGGGTGTAACAATCCATTTTTCAAGGTCCCAGGAATGCAGGTGGGACCAGTTAAAGGTTAATCATGGGGGTGAGGGAAGAGAGATTACAGAATGGTTAGTTTAATTCTGCTTAATCCTCATTTTCAGTCTAGGGGAGTTTTGTTGTTGCGAAACGGGATGTGCCTACATTCTGACGTTAGCACCCCAGGCCTGCGAAGGAGCTCTTGACCCCTCTTTGCGGGCAGCCGGGGAGGGCAGCGCGCGTGCCCCTGCTGCAGACACTGGCTCTGAAGACATTACCATGTTTGTGTAAAAAGTATCTTTTATCCTTTCCCAATCGCCAACCATTATACAAAAATTAAAACACACGCTCATAGGCACCCCCCCTTCCCGGAACACCCCACCCCCAAGCAGCCATAAAAACGTTGTTCCCAAGATTGACTCTGGAAAGCTTTCAAAATACCATCAAGGCAGACGGAGGTCTGAGTAATGGACTAGGTATATGAGGTCCTTTTCTTAAGGTGTTTCATTCAATTATTAAGTAACAGCTCCCTCTTCATAGGCCTCTCTGAGTTCTTTAGAGCAACGATACAAAATTTCTATTTAAAATCTTTGAAAGTAGGGCTCATGCACTTTTTGTTTTTCTTGTTTTGAGTTTGCCTTGAAGAAAGGTGCCGCCAACCCTGCTGGGGTGGGGTGGGATCTGTAGGCGGGCCCTTCTGCCTGGAGCCCTGTCCCTGCTAGCACCTCCACTGGAGTCTTCATACCTATTATCTAATACTTCTCCTGTCCTCATGGGATCCTGGAGATTACACAGCCCAATCCCCTTATTTTGCAAATGGAGAAACTGAGGCTGAGTGGTTGTGCAAAGTACCAGGACCACCCAGAGAAATGGCAGTCATGCCTGAGTCCCTATTCTGTACTGTTTGCTACATGACATTTGAGAACTTTCCACAGCTTCAAAGCACGCACCCCCCCCCCTTCACAGGAATAGTGGTCACATATAGGGCGTTTAGAATCAGTATACATTGTGCTTTCTAAATCGTTAAATTGGATCTCTAGGGTTTTTATGCCTGTTTCTCCTCAAGACCTAGAAGCACTTTTGCATCTGTTCCCTAACTTTGTTTTAAAATCTTAAAATATGGCACTGAGATTTTATGCTATTCCTTCACACAAATGACTCCTCTGTGTCTTAGTTGCCTGGCTGACACTAGCATGATTTCCATGTGCGGGTCTGCTATCTTCCCTGGACCTGAGGCGAGCTGGAGGAGGGGCTAGTGGAGTTCTCAATGTGGAGGCCAGAGAAAGCCACTTTGGAGGTGCCCAAGCTGCCTCCCTCCTCATCAGCCTGCTGTCCTTTTCTTTTCCCGAACCACTGGAAAATGCTGCTATGGACCCTGCCGGTGTCCTCATTCCCTCCCCATGCTCCCACCATGACCCCATTGAATTATTTCCCAGAAATCTGGCCGGGTCTTGGACCACCCCTCAGAACCTCAGGCGAACTTGCGCCCTGCTCCGGGAGCAGGAGCATTATAATGCAGGAGAGTAGAGGGAAAGGAAGGGCTTCTTCCTCCAAAGGTATCGCCCTGAACATGTAAACAGGCACTGAATGACACTACCATACTGTTCCCCACCTCCTCTTGGCATAGATGACATTTCCAGGAGAAGCCAATCACTGCAGGCGGAGAGACCCCTTGAAGAATCTGTTAGTCCAAGCGCATCAGATGTGTTCTGGACTCATCTGGCTAGATAACCATTCCCGAAGTCAACATCTGATCCGCAAGCGTCACTAGTATCGGAAGGAACATCTGCAGGACAGAGGCTCTCCTCAGAGGCCCCTGTCTCTTCTCCACTGGCCCACAGTGGGCTGGATTCTATTTCCTCAGGATCTTCTAGGTCGACTGTGTCTTCTGGCAGAGTTAACATCTGAGGGACTTCTGAGTCGTCCAGGACCCTCATACATACAGAATTTAAATTCACATTGAAGACAATTCTGTTCCCAGAACCCTCGGGGGAGCTGCTGGTCTCCTGGAGTAAGGGCTCCTGTAGCAGATTCCCAGAGCCCTCGGGGGTCCTGCCTGGGTATTCTGACCGCCGGGGGCTGGGCCCCAGGGCCATTAGTGGCTCAGTGTCATCCTCAGGCCCGGACATGTCAGGTTCCTCAGATTCCTCAGCATCTGGGTCTGTGTGGTCCTTTAAGGTCTCTGAGGAGGTGGATGCCAGACAGAGAAGCCGGCCTGTGAGCCCATGCATGGTGTAACCACCCTCACTGGCCCGGGGGGCTTCTTCAGTATCACTGTCACTGTCATCATAGTTATAGTCCCACACTTTCTTCTTTCTTTTGACAATAATGACCTCCACTTTGTCTATTGCTTCTGATGGTGGCAGGTTCAGAAATGTGCAGGATGACAAGTTATAAAAACTCTTTAAAAGAAAAAAAAAAACGGGTGGAGAGTTTACATCAATTTGGAGAGGTTTGCCTGTTTTTTTTTTTTGTTGTTGTTTATTTTTTTACATCATAAAACTTCATGAGATTAACCGCACAGTGGTGAGGGTGGTGACAACAGTTAGGCTAATAGTGACACTGTGATTACTATTTTACCTTCACAACCATTCCATGAAGTCAGCTTACTATTTTATCTCCACTTTATAGAAGGGAAGTTGAGACAGGGAGGTGAAGAAATTTGCTCAAAGTTCATGAAGAGTAAGCAGTGGAGGCAGGATCTCAAATTAGGCAGGGTGCTGGCCTGCCCATTCACACATTGGTAAGCAACATCAGCATTGCTCACCTTTCTAGTCTATACCTGTGCATAATTAAACAAACCTACTCTGCCCAGATATAGCCTTGGGATCTATTTCTATTGAGTTGTTCATCTTTGTTCTTATTGATTCATAGGAGTGTGTTTACAATCTGGATGGTAATTATTTGTTGATTTTTTATGTTACATATATTCCATCCCTCAGTCTGTGGTTTATCTTTTTACTTGCTTTATGGTGACATTTAAGGAAAAGAACTTCATTTTAACATAAGAAAATGTATCAATTTCTTCCTATGCCTTTTAATTTTTTGTGTCAGAATCTTCCTTACCCCTAAGTCATACAGAATCTCCTATATGGTCTTCTAAAATCTTGTCAATTTTGCCTTTCACATTATGGTCTTTAATAAACCTAGAACTGATATTTGTGTATGGCGTGAGGTAGGGATCCTATTTAATTTCCACATAGATACCATTTATTGACTAGTCAATCCACACCCCCTGCAATATCTACTCCCCTTTGTGTTGTCTGTTTCAGGGCTCACTTGAATAAATTTTCTTTAATGCTCTTCAATAAAATTTGAAATTTTCTCTACAAGGGGCTTGTAACATTTTCTGGTAGCTGTCTTCCTTAAATGTTTCAAAATATTATTATTACAATTGTAATGGCACTTAAAAAATACATGATTCCATTTAACTGTATGATTCCAAGTTCAAAATCAGTAAAATTAATCTTTTCTGTCCATAATCAAAATAGTGGCCACCCTAGGTGGGGGTAGTGACTAGATGGTGTCAGAAGAGACTCCTGGGGAAGGTGGTTCTCTTTCTTGATTTGGGCATTAGTTGGGTATGTTGAGTTTGTGCAAACTGACAGAGCATTGCACCATGATTTGTGTACTTAATTTCCTGAATGTTGAAGAGCAGCTTCATGTTCATTTTCTAGTTGGTTGTTTTTTAATCAATATAAAAATGCTTATGTTTTTCTTATCAAACAACTTCGTTAAACTTATTAGTCCTGATAATTTAACTCTAGATTCATGTGAAGTTTTTACTTAGCCAGTCATATCATCTATAAATTATCATTGTTTCTGCTCGCAATTCTTGGACTTTAAGCTCCATGAGGGCAGAGTTTTTGTTTGCTTTGTTCACTTAATAAATATTTGCTAAATGCAAAGGAAGTCATTAAAAATTTTAGTGTCTCTTCATGATTAATACACATACACAAACACACTAACTTAAGAGTGCTTTGTTTTACTATTCCTCATATTAAAAACAGAACAGAAATTTTTAATGGAGAAATACTGGGCAAACACAAGGCAACACCTGTGACTACTTAGGGTTAGCACAATAACAGGCATATCTATCATTGGTTTATCATTTGGGTTTAATTTAGGGAGACCTGGGAGGAGGGTTGTTAATGAGTTTAGGCCATTCAAGCAGATTTATCTAGGAGGGATGGGTGTATGGCCAAGGATCTTTATATCTTGACACTGCATGAGAAATATGAAGTGGACTATGATTTACCTAAGACATCATGGCCAAGCAATGCACAGCAGAGAGGAAGTGGTGAATAAAAGTTGAGATTAAAGTCATATGTGAACACTACCATAAAAGACTGTAGAAGATATTTTACACTGTTAGATTCAAAATAAATCATCCAATCTTATAAGACAGGGATCAGAATGAGGAGGGAACACGACAGAGTCATCTGCATCTCATCAGACATACCCAAATAACAGCTAGGTTTAAAAACCAACTGTAATTAAAATCTCCAAAGCACACCCCCCCTTCAAACAATTCCTCCAACTCAATCTGAAAACACAAGAAAAAGAAGAGTATGATTTCATCATCTGTGGAGGGATATTTAAATTTATGACTGTTAAAAAACCTAGAATAAGTTCAATCAGAAAAATAAGATATTTCTGAATGAATAATTTCAAAATGAAAGCAGAAAGAAGCAATGGGGGCAGGGAAAATGATAAATGATGGGAAAAAGCCATTGAGGCAAAAGACATGAGGATGTTTCAGGAATATGTATGATCCAGATGCAGACTTGGCAGAGGAGCTAAAAGCTCTGAGCAGTGTTTTCAAGAACCACAGAGAACAAATGAAGAGAAGCAAAGTGGCTGGTTTCACCAATCATACAAGTAACACAAAAGAGAACAGCTACAGGGGACTGTTTGTTATATATGTGATAAATGAATTAACATAGTAAAAACGACTGATTAGTGTCAGCAGAGCTTTGGAGAGATGTGCACACATACATTGCAATGGCATTAGAAGTTAGTTCTTCGCCGCTTTGCAAGATAAGTCCATTTTGTATATATGTCTCCCTGAAGTGATTCAAAATAAAAAGATAACTTGCATAAAAAGTCCACTGTGTTATTCATAATGGCCAAAGGAAGAAGGAAAAGAAAAGAAAAAGAACTCAATCCAAATGCCCAGATAAAGGGGAAAATGATGCGTTTACTCCAACGGAATACTATGGAATTATGAAAAATATATGGACAAAGAATAAAAAGAATACATGAAATGGAAAATATGTATTTATAGAGATGGAAGAATACCCAGAGTGATAAAACATTTTGGTGTTTTTAGATCAAGGGATCTTCTGTGAAATATTTAAGTATATCATGAAAATTCTTAACTTAAAAGAGAAAATTTTAAAAAGACATACCAAAACTTCGGGGAAATCATATTGTAAGCAAATATAACCAGTCCGTTTCAGTATTATTATGGTGCATAGGCCAATAACTGATATTAAAAACATAAAAAGTATTATTCCTCCTATTTTTCCAGATTCCGATGACTCTGTTGATGAAAAATTAAATGGTGTCATTTCAAAATAAATGTAATAAACGATGGCAAATGTGAATAAATGCACATTGGTCTGGTGGTGGATGGGGCTAGGCAAGGAAGCAAAAGTTGGAGAAACTTTTTAATATAAGAGAATGTAGCATATCCACGTACACATATTTTTGAAAAGTAAAATTTCTTTCAGTTTACAATCATGTTCCATCACTCCACTGTCCAATGTGGTAGCTATTAGCCACACATGACTATTTAAATAGAAATGATCAAAATTGAAAACAATCACTAGCTTCTTAGCTACATGAGCCACATCTCAAATGTAGTCAGTTAAGCACCAGGCAGGCAGATGCGGAGGGGGCGGGGGGCTTTGCTGGGAAAGTGATGGGGTCACTCTGAGGTTGGACCCAGGTCACTCCAGCACCCAAAATGAAAGCCCCGTAGAGCTCCCTTTGTCCTATGTTGCAGACCTCCTTAGTCTTTACCCAAAGCCCCTATTGGAAAATGATGACCTTCTGATTGACTTTTTTCCTTCAGTCCAGTGAATGGAGAAGAAATTCCTACTTGCCTCACTAAGACTTTCTAAAATTTTCAGGAAGATCTTTATTAATATTAATCTTGTAATCAGAGCCTTTGGGCAACAAAAGGAATAAGGATGGGTCACATATTTTAAAAGTCTTCTGGAAGATTAAAAATGTGAACCCAAGGTTAAGGCAAGAAACCCAACAAGGGCCCTTGTGCGACTGGACAGCACAGCGCTGAGGATACTGCTACTGAATAATCAATGGCAGTTACAGAACAGATCAATACAATTTTTTTTTTTACACATACAGAGTTTCCTCCACTGAAAAATAAACTGTGAACCAAGATGATGTCATAGGATACAGACCCAAGTGTCCCCAGCCTCGCCTGCCCCTCCAGCAATCCCCAGATCCAGAATTTCCATGTTAGACTCTGCTTTGAGGGACTATTAACCCAGACACCACCCTGACCGAAGATAGCAACCCCCCACCCTCCACCTGACAGCACCTTCACCCCACTCCTGCCATTTTCTCCATGGCACTTACCATCACTTAACGTATTATACTCTTACTTTTTAAAAATCTTTTTATCCCCTCTCGACTGCACTGGAAGTGCCACAAAATAAGAATTTCTTTTTATCATAACATTTTCTCTTTTGGCAAAACAGGTGGAGACCTAGTTAGTTCCTGAGAAAATAATCAGCAGTGAATGCTCCTAAACCTGATTAGCCAATCTCACCATCCCGGATGGCTCCCGGATGGCTCCCGGACTGCACTGTTTACTGCTCCGCTGCCGGAGCAGCACCAGGGCTTGCAGCCTCATCAGCAACCATCCTGTCTACCCTGGAGAGTATCCCTTTATGCATGAGCTGTCACTCCCCCTGCTTGGGGCCAGGTCACAACACCAAGGTAGGGGCAAGGTTTCACCCCAACACCCTGGGGGGCAAGAGCTCCTGGCAAGCCTGCCTCCTGCAGCATGTGGGATTGCGTTTCATGCTGACTCCTTGGGTAGGGCTTTAGGGGGATTTCAGACCTCATGAAGGTAGGTATCTGAAGGCACCTGTAGTGTGGTAATGAGAAAGTGACTGCACCCCAGAGTAGAGACAGGCCAACAGAAATCACCTCTGCAAGGCACCTTTGGGGGAAGGAATACTTTAGGGCTCTGTGCCATTCAGATTCTTGTCTTTAAATAGGTTCCCCCCCAACCCCCCCAGAGTAAAAGCAAACCATGCATTCTAAAAAACTGTCTTACCTGATGGGTCTTTAGGTAGAAGGAAGACACATTTGAAGGGCGATCTTATGGTTGGCGTTAGATTCATATCATTTTGCTCAAAAAAAACAGAGATACAGTAGTTTGTGTTTGGAATTAACTGGTCAATGACATGAGTGAAATTTCCAGTGTGGTTTCCATTTATTTGCAATGTGTGCTGTAAAAAAAAGCAAAAAACAGATCAATTTGACTCTGAGAGAGAATTTTACTGGGAGGCAGGCCCAAAGAATCTCTTTGGAGACTTATCTTCGAATCCTAAACATCATAGGCTGGCTTCATGCTCCTTGAAAAAAAAAGAAGGAAAGCAAATAAATAGCATAGGCTTACCAAAAAAAGTACTAAGTCAGCTGACACAATCCAATATTGTCCCCCCAATATTTTAAAGTATGAAATCTAGTCTAGCAACTTCATTTTACAAATGAGAAAAATTCCCAATGAGAAATAAAGCTGTTCACGGAGTCATCTTTTGCAGGATTATCTTATCTTGTGATAAGATAAGGAATTAAGAAAACAAATGTGTCACTAATGATACATATCTACCTTACATTTCAGATCAAATAGTCAAATGACTCAGTTGATTATAACAAAAGTCTGCAGAGCAGGCAGACTCCCCACCCCCGAGATGGGCACCAGCAGCTCAGAGAGGCTGAGTGGCTTCCCCCAAGCTGCTGTGTCAGAGGTGAGTCGAATCACTGGGCACCTGGTTGATGTCGGAGAACTGGTATTAAGATGTGATGCTGGTGTTGAGTCCTTGTCTGGCAGAACTGAGGCTGATGTCTAGTTCCCCTTCTTCCTCTTAAAACACCTTGCCTCTGCTTTCCCAGTGAGTTCTGATCCATTTGGGAATGAAAGTGATATGAAGGTTCTTCCATGAAAAACCACTTTGGCATTATGTTGTATGGCTTTCAAAATACATTCCCTTTTTTATTTTCTTAAAGATTTATTTATATTTATGCATACAAGAACTGGGGTATAGGCCAAAGGTGTGTGTGGTGGGAGGGTGAGAGGATTCACCAGGGACAGAGTGGGGAGCAGAACAGGAAGATCTACTGAAATTCACTGCTGAGGGGAGTTGGCGAGAGGGGAGAGGTCTGCTGCGTCATGCGGGTCAACTGCCTGGCCAGGGATCGAACTCGTGCTGCGATAACTTGATAGCATTGTATCTTTAACCCCTGCCACCAGGGAGGCCCTCAAAATACATTCTTACTAGCAATTTTATAAATCAGGATTTCTAGTGGTTCAAATGCAACCTTCTATAATGTTTTTCTGCAATTTTCTATTTGGAAGGAGAAATTATTGAAAAAAAGAAAAGAAAAGAAAAACAAGCCAACAACTCAGAGCTCAGCATGGCAAACAGTCAAAAAAGACCAAGGTGACCAAAGCAGAGGCAGTGGCATGTGGAAGGGTGCTTGCCTTGTGGTTGGAACGGCATCATGATGACTGAGAGTTAGAACATCTCACGTTGCCACAGTGTGATCCCGAGTGAGCCTGAGCTTGCTTCCTGTTTCATGCAGCAAATGGAAGCTCCCTCCTATACCTTTCTGTGCCTGTGTCCTCTGTCCCTCCTTCTCATCTCTTGTCTTGATCACTTCACTCCGGCTGCCTGTTGTTTCTCTAACCCAGTGGTCTCCCTCCAGCCTCAGCACCTCTGACTTCCTGTGCCCTCTGCCTGGAATGCCGCTGCCCTCCTGACATCTTGTGGGCTGGTGGCAGTTGCAAGGGTTTTACAACTGGCAAACGGCTATGCCAACGTCAGCTATTGTTACAGGAGGGTGCACTAGTGAGGAACACTTTGCATCCATTTCACTCATTCCAGCATTCTGGGGGATCAAGAGAACAAGTGATTGACAACCCAGATCCTGCGATACTTGGCTCACATGAGGTCCTGACCCTCAGGCCCCTCAGGGAGGCCAGGAGGGGACAGAATTTCCCTAAAGTGTGTGAAAGCTTCTATGTGTGGCCAAACCACTCCTTTTGAAGAAAGTCTCATCCTGGCATGCTGACACGCGCCTGTTCTCCCTGTACATGCCTCTCTCTTCCTTGTCTCCTTAGATGTGGCTCATTCTTTGAAAGAACACCACAATGCATTTCCGCCATGGATGAACTATGGAGATTTCTTTCTTACAGTCACACCACATTGGCCAAGACCTTTTAGTTTTCATTGTTCAAGTCACTACAGTTGTTTTTAAAAAACAAGAGAGTCAAATGTCTTCACTGCCAATCCAGACCTGTTCTGACCACCTACCTTCTTAACAATCCCCTCTGACTGTTCTTCCAAGACAAGTGGTGCGTTGTACCGTAATTCTGCGATGATTTTGGAAGCCATGGGTGGAATGTTCACGAGGACACTGATGTGGTCAGTGAAACCAATAATCTCAAACTCTGGTGGCTCCAAAGACACTGTTCAGAAAACAAAGTCAGAAGCAGACCGGGGGTCAGTCCCTGATGGTCTATAGGAGGCTCCCATTGGCATGAAAAAGCTAACTTCTTGACAGCCCTCTGTTCTAAAATATTTTCTGATGGGTGAAAAACTGAAAACAACAAAAGGGAAGTGATTTGCTTAATATTATCACAAGAAATGAAGGGCAGATTCTGGATGGAAGTCATTCCTTTCCCAATTTTCAGGCTGTATTCTGAACACAAAAGTAAAAATCACATTTTTCGTACATGACCACTGCAGAAATATCAGAAAATACAGAGAGGCAACAGTCCCTGAAAGTGGTTAATTCTCTTCTGTCTACACACTGGATGTGTGTAACTATACACACACATACGAACTGAACTGGTGTATACACAAATATATGTATTTCTAAACTAGAATGAAATCATTCTTACCCCCACTATTTTGCGAGGTATATATTTTCACTTAACTTATTTCATAAGCATATTAATGTATATTTAGCTATGCCAAGGGCTGGCTAACTATGCCTGTGGGTTGGATTCTTGTCCAACCTACAAGTTTTGAATAGTTTTTATTTTTGAAATTGTCTACAAATATAAAAAAGACCATATGAAGCCCACAATGTCTAAAGTGGTTCTTTTCTGGCCCTTTCCAGAAAGTCGGCCAATCTTTGTCACATTTTCTCACAGCTAATTCTGTTCCACTAAGTGGCTATCCTGTGATTTCACTGACTTACTGTTTTGAACACTCAACTTTTCTGAATAGAGTCTATGTACCAGTGAGTACTCTTGGAGGTAAACTTTTACATTTGCCCATTATGATTTTTTAGGATAAATGACTACAGAAGAATTCTGGAAAATTAAGATTTTTCATACATGCAAATACCTTCAGAAAGTCTGGGTCAAAGTCCACTCCCTGCATTTCCTCTAAAAGTAGGTATTTACACATTTTAAATATTTACCATTTTGAGTCTTGAAAAGTGCCCTGTCATTACTACTTAAATAGTAGTTATCCTTACAGTCTGGATGAGCTCTAAGGTCTCTTCTGCATGAACACACAGTGACACGTCTATTTGGACAATGATATAAAAATGCACAAAGCCAGTCTCAGGTATCTGAGTGGCAGCTCCAGTGCAAGTCAGCTGTCACTGTCACTTTGCTAAGCATGTATGTGGAAGTATTTAAGGGGGAGCCTGAAACCACATCTTCCTCTTGGAAGGAGGTTGTAAGTGAGGGCACAGAAGAAGTAAGGAATCTGGCGGCGCCACTGGCCATGTCCCTTGCATTATTAACACAAGTGCCTCTGGGGTGGTGTCATGGGGACAGAAGGAAAGGGCAGGTCCTTCCTGGGGGTCCAATCTTCCCCAGTCTGGGCCCTGGAGCTGGAAGCTGACATGTGCAGAGCTATTGGGCTACCTTGGGGAGGAGCCACAGCATTAAGGAAAACACTGGCCCAGTCATAGCAGCTCAGTTACGGGCCACCCGAACCCCAAGCCCCACTTCTTGCGGGCAGTGAAACAAACTGAGGTAGCAGCTCTCACTGCCAGGAACACCTGACCCATTCAAGGATGGGGGAATCATCTGCAAACATCACATGATCAGTCTACTTTTTGGATAAGAAAACTGGATGAGAAGCCGCAAAGCAACTTCTCCCCTGTTACAGAGCTAGGGAGTGGCAGCACCAGGTGGCGAAGCTGGTTTCGAGTCTAAAGCACCCGGGCTGGCCTTCCTATTTCGTGGAAGAGCTAACAGCCATGGCTCTGACAATGAGGACGATGAACAGACAGTGACTCACTTTTGGTTACCAGGTGGACCTGGCCCAAACAGGGGCCCAGCGTTGTGTTCCCATGGACGCCAACGACTTTGGGGACGTAGGTCTCACTCATATCCGTCCACACTTCTGAGACGTCGCAATATGATCTCGGGATGTTCTCACAGTTCTTAACACTCATCATCGCTTTGTCTTTACTTTGAGAGGAAAAGAAACGGTAAAGGAAAGTGTTAGAGCTTACATGACGAGAACACACTGGTGGAACCCTCACCCTGCCCTGCCCACCCCTCTCGCCCATCCCTTTCCCATGTCTGTATCGCTCTTCACACCATTTACCACCACCTGCCATGTGGTACTGCGATGTGTTTCTCCACATCGCCTCCACCTGTCAGAAGGTCTGCTCCAGGGTGCGGGCAGTTTGGTTTATGGGTGAACCCCTGGCTGTAGTTGGTGCTCAGTATTTGCTGGATGAATGAATGAACAAGTCTTGGGCTTTCCTGGTAGAGCCCCCAGATGTCCATGGGATAATCAGGAATGTCCTCCCTTAGGCCTCCCCCCTGGTCCCCTACTTTTTCTCAAACTCAGGCCCAGGTGGCCCAGTCCTAAGTCGGCTCCCAAGGGACAACACAGATAGCTGCCCTGGGCCTTCACAAAGATAGGTGGGTGATGCAGGTGACCATCTACTACTGAAAGAAACTCAAGACTTGGGCTTCCCCGGTGGCGCAGCGGTTGAGCGCTGGGTTGCGAAGCTGCGCGCGGCCTCTGCGGCGCCGGTTCGATCCCCGGCTGCTCCCCGGCCACTGGAGGAGGGTCCCGCATGGCGCGCAGACCTCTCCTGCCGCCCGCTGCTCCCCTCAGCAGTGTACTTCGGTCCTTCTGCCTGCTCTGCTCCCCGCTCTGGCTCTGGTGAATTCTCTCACCCTCCCGCGCTTCTGACTGTACCCAGTGCTTGTACAAATAAATAAAAATAAATGTTAAAAAAAAAAGTCTTAAAAAAAAAACAAAAAAACTCAAGACTTTAGCAGGCACCAAAGATGCCCATTACTGTGTCAGTCAGCAGCAGTCACAGATCTCAGTCCAACAGCCAACCAACGGACACTCGAGGGCTCCTGGGTCAACAGTCATGACTTGAAAGGTTGAGCATAAGCCTTGGGAAGAAGAGAGCCAGACTGGGCTCCAGTCATCTGTCACTCATTCCTGTAGCAACCCGTACACAGGAGGACTCGCTCAGGGAGGCTGAGGGCCACCACTGGTCTGTGCCAAGCCAGACTTTGGACGTGGGCCACACAGCTTTCTGAAGTGCCACATGCCTTCCTGAGTGAAGGAACACTGGCCGCCAGATCTTGGACTCCTGTCCTGGGAGAACAGTTCTTCTAAACATCCGGACTCACAAACTAAACAAATTATTGCAAACACCATACATCATAATTATTTTACTTCTGAGGCTTTGACCTGTAGAAATGGGATTTGGTTATAAATACAAACTTCATCAAAATAGCTCTGGGTTGGGCGCCTCCCCTGGTGGCGCAGGCAGCTGAGCGCAGCGCTATGAAGCTGTCTGCAGCCTCTGCAGCGCTGGTTTGATCACGGCCGGCCGGCCGGCCGGCGAGGGTCCCACATGGCACGGCAGACCTCTCCAGTCTCGCCCACTGCTCCCCTCAGCAGTGTATTTTGTCAGTCTGCCTGTTCTGTTCCCCACTCTGTCTCTGGTGAATCCTCTCACCCTCCTGTGCCTCTGGCCTGTGCCCCGGTTCTTGTATAAATAAATAAACAAATCTTAAAAAAAAAAAAAAGCTCTGCGTTGTTAAGATTTTCAATTTAATTAAAATGGAAGGGTGTTTTGTCTTTCGACTTTTAAAGTTCAGAATAAATGCACAATGGGCACGCACACACACAAGCTCTATCACAAACAAAACCACCTCCTCCCCATGGAACAAATGTTTAGCAAGAGATAAATGAAAAATAAATCAACCTCATGATTGTATACTGCAATGTATAGTGAGTTGGTACAGCTGAATGGCTTTTAAATTCCCATGACAGGATTGGTCGGAGCTTCCGTAATGTCATATTAAAAGTGCAAGCTTTATCTGAAGCACCTAAAGGAGGATGGGCAGGAAAAAAAAGAAACACCGTAATTTGGAATCCAGGGTTGTATCTTGGTCACTATTTAATCTGTCCCTTAGGATCTGGAGTCTACGTCCCCCGCAGAGGTTCCAGGAGCCCTGGGGTTTTAGAAAACAGGGAGGAAATATTTCTGTCATGAGAAATGAGCTCATTCAATTAATGAGCATCAAATTGCCAGAGCAGGCAAACAGGAAACAGGGACCCAACACCATGTAAAGAGTATTTGGCCTCACCCAACTCTCATGGACTCTGGGGACTATTGGATCAACAAAGTCTAGGTCCATCTAGATTGTTCCCAACTCCTAACTCTACCTCCTTTCTCCCTGAGCAGCTCAGCCTACTGCAAGTTTTGCCTCCTCTGAATTCTAGCTGCACTTAGAGGGCAGGTGGGGAATAATGGATGTACAAACTGGCCCTTTCTAGGCATAAACCCCTCAACAATGCTGAAGTAGGTGCTATTAATAGATCCATTTTACAGACCATGAAATTGAGAAACTGAGTTTTGCAATATTGTGAAACTGGGGTTTAGGGGTGGGGGAAAAAAGAGGGAGGGGACAGTGAACTCTATACTGCTTAGACCCGAGGCTCTAAAGTCATACTTGTCAATCATGCCTTATAAGGTTCAAGTGTTTAAGAACATTTAAATGTTAAGACCTGGGTTGGCTTCTAGGTTGCCAGCTCTTTATCCCCAGATGCTTGTCACAAGCCTGGGCACATATTTAATGCTTAGAGAACTTTTGTGGACATAGATCAGCAGGAGATTTAGTTATAAAAATTATTTCCCCTTATCTGATACCAGATACCAGGTGAGAGAATGCAAATTAAGGAGAAATTATTTCTGGATCATTTTTGTTTGCTATTGTCTGTCTCCTCATTCGTCATTAGTGAGATTATTAAGGGCTGAATTTTTTTTTAAAGGACTTAAATATTATGTCTAGTTTTAGTTTCTTAGAAAGCTTTGTGAGACAAATGTGAAAACCAGAATTGACTAATTTTACTCCTTTTATAGAGAAAGTATTTGATGGTGGATTCAAACAAAATGGGCAACAGATCTGGGATAAAAAATCAAATCTCCCCCATTTTAGTCTTCTGGATGGTGGTCCCCCTCTCTGACTGACCCTTCTACAAAATTTAGTCCAGCCAAGAAAATCTCTTACCAGGCAAGACACATGAAACACCCAACAGGAGGCTGATGGACACTAGGAAGAAGAAAATCAAGTTAGACCAGCATCACCCTTCCTTTGGGTTCCATCTATAATTTCTTGGTCTTGACATTGGTGTACACACACAGAATTGGATCGAGATTGTCTTGTGCTAAAAAAATGCTCAGCTAAATGGTCCTCATTGAGTTGACATTGGTATCCGTGGCACATGGGTTAAGGATTTCATTCCGAGTGGGCCCAAAATCAGGTCCCCTGGGGAGCTGGGACTTACAACAAGATTGGCTGGTGGAGGGAGTGTTTCGAGAAGCAGAGATCTGGAATAATTCTCAGGAAAGGGACAAAGATGTTGCTAATTAATAAACTTTCCAGATAAAGGCATTTGCCATGCGTGGTGGGAGAGCTGTGTTGGTGATGGGAACTGGGATGCTCATTTGTTTGTTTCTGGGTGTCACGATGACTTAGAGGGGTACTGGCATTTTTAGCATTTGTTTGTTGTACACTCCAGTACATACTCTGTCCTCTAAAGGGGAGAAGAGGTCCATGCATGGGCCCCCTGCTGATAAACTACGAAACAGATGACACAACTGAAGTAGACGTGGAAGAAAAGCTGAGAACAGGCATGAAAGAAACGGACTATAGAAATACTGCAGTCCTAAATAAAGTGGAGAAATCAAAGCTCAGGGAGCCTTTCTAGTCTGGCGATGTGATAGGAGATAAGGGGGTTGGCTACTTGTCAAATGTAGGGATAGAGGGATAAACTCCACTGTGGCGCTATTACGAGGATTTACTCTTCAAAATCACATGCAAGGATGTTTGCCATCACTATGTAGCCTTAAAGCATCAGCACAGGCTTCCCATTTCCCTTCCCTTGGGCTCCTGACATTGGGGGTCTGATTCTGGGCACTCTGGTCAGGGACACCCACTGGGGGCTCCTGAGCAGCATCTGCGTGATGGGGGTTTCCAGGGCTTGGCCCTGCAAGAACTATGATAAAAAGTAACACTTACCCAGGCCAGACAAAGTTTGCACTGTAGTTGCTGGGGCATTCTGGTTCCAAAGCATCTTTGTTATTTTGTAAGTCCTTTATTTACTTCCACATCTGAAAGGAAATCAGTATTAGGTGATCAAAAATTTGAAGAAGATAACTGAAAAGTAAGCAGAGAGCAAGACCAAGGCCAGGCCAGTGGGGATTCCTAGTTCCAGGCTGTGTCAACCTCCTGGGAGCAGCCTTGTCCCGGGGCAGCCTTATCTCAACTCTGAGAGCAATTCCCTACTGTGTCAGGTAACATTTTATTTTATTTTATTTTATTTTTTATTTAAAATTTTTTTCCAAATATATCTTGCCCTATTTTATTTTATTATTTTTTTTAAATTTTATAATCAGGTAACATTTTAAAATGTAACTTGTGAATAGGTAAGAGAGTCATTTGACTCTGAAATTTTGAACATGACAAGCTGTGAAGCATCTTTGCTCCTTCAGAAAATAACTTTCATCCTCCCTTGCGAGTCCTTCAAATACAGAAGGTCTTTGAATAACACAGCTTTGTTCATCAAGGTCTCATTCTGATGTTTATAAGAAATAAACAATTCCGGTGGGTGTTGAACAAAATGCTGTTATTGGAGGACCTGGTTTCTTTCTACATCATCATGCTTGATGTTGCTGTTTCCATGCAAATCAAAACCACAATGAGATGTTGCATCACATCTGATCAGAAAGCCCAGAAACAACAAGCTTTGTGCACTGCTGGTGGGAGGCAGACTCGCTCCACTGCTAAGGAAAACAGTATTGTGGTTTCTCAAAATATTAAACAGAGATCAAGCAATTCCACTCCTAGTATCTAACCCAAGAATACAAGAACACTAATTAGAAGGGATATCTGCACTCCTATATTCTTGAAGCACTATTTCCAACAGGCAAGTTCTGGAAACAACTAAGTGTCCAACAACAGATGAGTGGATAAAAAAGATGTGCTATATCCACAGGATGGAATATTACTCAGCTATAAAAAAGATGAACTCTTGCCATTTGCTATAACATGGATAGAACTGAGGGGATGATATTAAGCGAAAAAAGTTAGATGATTTTACTCATATGTAGAATAGAAAGGGACAGACAAAACCAAACCAAAACATACCTGATAATCTGACTATAGAATGAGGCTGTGAGAGGTGGAGGGGAACAAGGGGGCTGGGCGCCCTGGGACTAAGCTGGGGGATTACTGAGGCTTTGGTGGTGGATGTGCTGTGGTTACAAACATTTGAAGAGGTGTGAACTCCTGAAACACATATACTGTTAACATTACTTCAGTAAAACAACAACAAATTCTGAGTTTCCAAGAACTTACTAACGTTTAGTGAGAATTTACTATATACACATAAGCAAAAAACAAATACGTATTTTTATTTCCCCCCTTTTCCCCGTCCTGACCTTGCTTCTCATTTAAAAATATATTTGATAGACCCCTCGACAGCAGCATCGAAGAGAATTTCCTGCTGTTTTTTTTTTAAAGATTTATTTATTTATGCATATAAGAGCTGGGGTACAGGCCAGAAGTGTGGGGGTGAGAGGATTCACCAGAGACAGAGTGGGGAACAGAACAGGCAGACTGACTGAAATACACTGCTGAGGGGAGCAGCAGGCAAGCCAGGAGAGGTTTGCTGCGCCATGTGGGTAGCTCCCTAGCTGGCTGGGGATCGAACTCATACTGCAGTGGTTGCAGATAGCTTCATAGGTTGCATCTTAATTCCTTGCGCCGCCAGGGAGGCCCTGTTTTTTTTTTTTTTTTTAAGCAGTTGCATGGTCTACTCCATAGACAATATCATCATTTATATAATCACTCCCTACATGGACATCTGAGTGGCTTCCAACCTTTTCTGCAATGAATTATCTTGGATACACATCATTCTGCACCTGTGCAAGTGTAAACATAAGGATGATTTTCAGGAGTAGGACTGGGGGCAAAAGGGCAGACCAGTCAGGGTCCTGGTAGGAGATAGCATATTCAAGTTAGGATATTTTGAGGACTACTATTCACAAAGGTTAGAGCAGAATGGAGGCAAGCTACAGGGGAGAGCGGTGTAGCTAGTTGCAACATGGGGGTTGCACCACCTGGGGCTTGAGATGCAAGAGGAAGGTGCCACACTGGACTCTGGGGAGAATCCTGAATGAGGAGCCAGCCCGAGGTGACTGTGCAGGAACGGGGCTGAGAGACAAATAGGCCTCCCCATCTCTTCTCCCTGCTTTTACTAGGGGAACCATGTTAGCTGAACCCAACCAACCCATACAAGGCAGGACCTCACAGGGATGGTGGAGGCTAGGTCTGGGGGGCGGGGGAGGGTGTGGGCAGACAGAAGACCTAGGAGCTATGTGTTATTTTGATGGAAATCACACCTGGGCTGTCTGGTTGAAGGTGGGGTTCACCCCATCACCTCTTCACAGAGACCAGCTCTTAAAACTATTAAAAAATTAAAGACATATAAACTAGTGTTAACTCAACAAAAGAAACCCATCAATTCATCAAACTGCTGTCTTCGTGCTACTGTTCATTGGCATTTCTCTTATTCTGAGACAGAACAGGCTGGCATCTCAGTAAGTGGCATCTCCCTTCTTGCTCACTGCTACCTCTGCCCATTTTTCACTGAGTGTTGGCTCTTTGTCTTAGGGGCTTGCGGGAGCCTTTTAAGTCTGAGGGCAGCTGGCCCTTTGTGTAGTGAACCCCATCTTGGGTTTCGCCTTCCTTTTGTCCCCTTGATTTTCTTAATACAGTTTTTGTGTTTAACCACACGGATGTTTCTGAGTTTTATAATATCAGACTTAAGGGCATCTTTTTCTTTTAGCATCTGCATTTGGACTCATTAAGAAACTTTTACCCATTGGAAGAAAGGAATTCTTTAAGAATTTTAAGGAGCCCAAAATTGGTTTTGTTCCTTCTCACTTTCAGAGCTTTTGTCCCCATCCAAGCAAGTGGGTCCTAGAAAATTCTGGGTGTTTTTCTGTCCCTCAAATCCAGAAAACATCAAGCCCTGACTCAAGATATAAACTGACCATGAAGTAGCACACTGGAGTTCACAATAAAAAACTTCATGTAAAATGTTCCCAGGGCCTCCCTGGTGGCAGAAGGGTTAAGTCTTGGCACCATGAGTTCGATCCCTGGCCAGGGAGCTACCCACATGGTGCAGCAGACCTCTCCTATGTCCCGGCTGTTCCCCTCAGCAGTGTATTTCAGTAGATCTGCCTGCTCTGCTCCCCACTCTGTCTCTGGTGAATCCTCTCACCCCCCACACCTCTGGCCCAGCTCTTTATGCACAAATAAACAAAAATAAAATCTAAAAAAAATTCCTCCTGGCTGTCACAGTAGCTGGTCCCATGTAGGTATTCTAGAAAAATCTGAGAGCACCCAAGTCACAATTGCCATCCCAGCTGCAGACTCTACCACTCATGGGCTATCTGGGTGTCTCGCCACAACTTAGCCCATGACACCACACCCATCTAGAAACATCTATGAGATATCTTAGTGAGGTGGATGTCCTCTCCCACTGTTACTCTTGTTAGAGGTTTGCGTATCTGTGGGTATTTTCTGGATGCTGGACACACAGGCTGGAGAGAGCCACACGGGGTGTGTGGGGTGCTCCCTTACACTTCCACCCTGCGGTCTCTGGTTCCTGTGTTCACCTACCACTGCCCCCTTCCCCATCCCGCCACCCAGAGGGCAGTACATCTTCTAAATGCATTTTGGTACATTTCACATTTAGCAGTGAGAAGCACACACACAATCACACACACTCACACAATTAAAGTTCTGTCTTCCTGCCCTGGCCTAGGCCAGGGGATGACTCCTTTCCTTCTTTGTTCCTTTGACCCTTATTCTACTTCTAACCAGATGTCCGATAAATAGATTGCTGGTTGCTGGGAAGACCTAATTTTCCCTCTTGGCATCCTGCCTAGAATCGTTCAACTAGCTCCTTAAAATTTTCCCTGATTACAAATGGGCCAGTCTCCTGTCTCCTGGTGCCTCTCCTCTCTGTGTCAGGGTCAATTCCAGTCTGTCCCCCACCCCCACTGTGCCTAGCAGAGCCCCAGGCTTACTCAGTTTATTGCTCTCCTGGGGCCATCCTGAAATCCTTACTCATTTGCCCTTGAATTTGTGTTTAATTATTGAAACCTGATGGGACAACCGGACACCCTCTGGGCGCTGTGTCTCTGGGCGCCCTTGGTCTTGCTCCCCTCTCCTGTGGCCTGGGGTCCAGCCCTCCCTGGCCTTGCTCTCTTCCCCACCATGATTGTTGATGCCCTTTTGTGGGGCAGCAGCGGGTCACGTCTCACAGGGCAGAGAGTCCCTTGGGGCACTGATGCCCCTCTTGTGTCCGTGCAGGGAGGGTTGAAGCTGGGCAGGGTATAAACTGTCCCTGCCAGCCCCTGGCAGTGCCGGGCCGCACCAAGGGGGCAGGTGAAGGTAACATCTAGTTCAGCCTTGACCTAGGTACCTAGCACATCCGGGAGCAGAGGTTTAGAGACCTTGGATGTTGCCAGCATGTTGTGGATTGGAGTGGCAGGCCCTTGAAAAGGGGTGACTAAGAGTTGGATCCCCCAGAGCCCACCCAGCAGGAGCAGGATTCTGGTATCCTTCAGGACCAAGTGCATGCATGCTCCAAGTTCCCAGGGTAGGGGGCCCCTGAAAATGTGGGGAGCTGTTCTGGTCTTGAAAATATCCCCTTGCATGAGGGAGCACTCCTTGGGCTAGCTATGGATTGTGGGGGACCCTCTTCCTCCTTGCAACCTTCTTAAGTCCAGCTTGAGTCTGGCCTTCTGGGTCCTTCCTGGCACTCTCCAGAAATGTGGGCCAATGGTAACATTCATGCTAATCACCTAAAACACTATTTTTTGATGCAGAATGACATTAAAAAGCAAGAAAAAACATGACAAGTTGAGAGACCGATTGTCAAAGAAAAGAAAAAATGTTCTATTTCAGTGCCTTCAGGGGTAGTTATGCCACCCCTGCCTTTATTTTGCTCTGGGCCTTGCTGTTCTCCCTGTGAGCTACTTTTCATTTATTTTTCCCTGAACTGAAAGCTCCTGGCCTCATTCACTGAAGGAATGAAAAGTCTTCGGGGACTTCAATCTCGCCTAGTTCCGATGTTAAATTATCATTCTGTAACCACAGTAAATCACACAAAGTAAAATGCAATTTTCATTCTTATTTTTGAACATCACTGAAATCAGAATGCCTTGCACAGAGGTATGATATGGGCTGATATTTTAGTTTTTTTAATTTTTTAAATTTATTTATATTTTACATCACTGTTCATTTTTAAACAATGTTTGCATCCCCCCCCCAAGTGTAGTAATTCCTTCACCATAGAAATTCCTCCTCCAAGGCACCCGTGCACCATCACTGCAGTCCCCTGCGCTCCTCTCTCCCTCCCGCTGACCCCTCTTAGTCCCCCTCCCCTGCAGCATATCTCTGGTTTATAACTGTCTGTTTGTTTTTGTTTTGTTTTGTTGTGTTTGTGGTGTTAATTATTTTTTTCCCAACGTTTTATTTGTTTCCCTATAGTCCTCCTATAAGTAAAACCATCTGATATTTTTCTATTTTCCAAGGATCAAATCAACAATCAGAATATCTATGTCATTGACTCTTCAGTAGATTGAAGCTTTATAAATGTAACAGGAAAATGAGTGTGAAATATGGGGCATCTCTGGTGGCGCAAGGGGTTAAGTCTCAGCACTCTGAAGCTATCCTCAGCCATTGCAGCACGAGTTAGATCCCTGGCAGGGAGCCACCCACATGGCGCAGCAGACCTCCCCTGTCTCCCTGCTGCTCCCCTCAGCAGTGTATATCAGTCAATCCGTCTGTTCTGCTCCCCACTGTCTCTGGTGAGTCCTCTCACCCTCCCGTGCCTCTGGCCTGCACCCCAGTTCTTGCATGCTTAAAGAAAAATAAATCTTAAAAAAAAAAGAAAATGAGTCAAATATGACTGTTGTGCTGATGGGAGGGATATAATTCACACTGTAGTTTCACTTTCAGGCAGTATTTCTGGGCTGGGGTTCTTTTTCTTATTTTCTATTTTTTAGACAAATCATCTGTCAGATGACAGGAACCAAATCTCAGTCTGATTTTCTTTAACTTTTAAATACATGAGAAACTTTAGAGCAAATATAGGTAAGAATAAGAGTTATGCATGATTTAAAATGGAAAAATCAGCCTGCCCACTACAGAAAAGTTGAAGTTGCTTCCTGAGAGAGCAGGTCAAATCTGAAGCAGGCCCGTTAGCTAGGGAAGTGCACGCGCTTGCCTTCCTTTTAAAAATCTCTTACTGAGGAAATGTTGGGTGACTTCATCTACCTTACCGGTCCAGGCTCACACTCCTACACACCTGGCCCACCACCAAAGCCCCAATAATCCTCCACCTTGGCCTTGTCCCCAAAATCAAATTTCCAGAATTGATTTTGGTTTGGCCTCTGAACCTGCCCCTTTGGCCCTGACCCCTGAACAGTAAGTAGGTGGGGGTGAGGGTGGCAGGGGTGGAGGGGCGAGCCTGGAGGGCTCCCAGCCCCGGAGCCTGCACCTGCCACCTCAGCCGGCTCACATGAAAGCACGAGTCACAGCCCCAAACAAGGAAATCAAACAAATAAGAAAAGAACAAAAGGAATTTCTCCATAAATCGGCCTGCTGAGGGCGGGGAGTCCTCACTGACTTCAGCAGTTGTTTTGCTGGGGCCGCAGCGGCGCGTGGAGGGGACCCCAGTCTCTCCTGCTGACCCTCCCGGAGCCCACCCCCCGCGTCGGACTCGGGGTGCCCTCGCTCGCCCCGCTCGTCCCAGGCGCGTCTGGAGGACGCAGGACACCCCGGCCCCGACCCACTCTCGCGCGGGAGGGGGGGCTGGTCAGTCCCGGGGTTCAGCTGGAGCCCCGACCCCCAGCCCCAGGGCGCTCCGCTTCTGCGAGGCGTCGAGAAACCCGACCGGACGGCGCGGGTGGGGGGTGCGCAGGGCCAGGAGCCGAGACTGGGGGCTCCGGCGGGGCGCTGAGCGCAGCACCCCCCGACAGGGCCCCGGCCAGCGCCTCTCGACGCCGCGCGGTCGCGGGGGGCTGGAGGCGCGCGGCTCCGGGAGCGGGGGGCAGCGGCGCGAGCCCGAGCCCCGCGGGGAGAGGTGGGGGGCGGGGTGTCCCGGGGGGGCGCGGGGCTGGGGGGTTCCGGGGAGCGGCTGCGGGGGGCGGCGTCGGCCCGGCGGTACCAGCGGCCCCCGCCCCTCGCGCCCGGGCGCCCCGCGTTACCTTGGCAGTGTCGCCGCGCCGCTTCCCTCCGGGGTGCCCGCCCGGGGTCCCCCACCTGGGGCCGGGGCTCGGCGTCCGCGGCCAGGGTGCTGGCGGGGGCGGCCCCTCGGGGGGCGGCCGGTCACCCCCTCGGCCGGCTCTCGCGGAGGCCGGCGCGGGGTCCACGCGGGCGACAGCGGGGGCCGCAGATCCCGGGGGGCGCCCCGGCCGGACGCAGGGTTCCCCCGCGGGGCGCAGAGCTGAGGGCGCAGGCCCAGCCCGAGCGCGGCCTCCTGAGGCTCCGCCAGCGCCGCCCGGCCTGGGGCGGGTTTCGGGGGACCCGGGGCGGGGACTGGGCGGAGACACCCGGCTTGTCATTCACTGATGTGGATCCAGTAGCGGGTTCCCTGGTTTCAGAGGAGAAGGGACGAGGGAGTCGGTCAACTGCTCTGTTTACTGCAGAATCTGGGGCTGGGACAGAGGCTGGCGCTAGAAGACGCTCAATAAAAATCTGTTGAATGAATGAATAAATGATGCCTGGATTCTCTCCGGGCCGCTCTGATCATAATTCTGCTACCACTGAGGCGTAAAGGTTGTCTAGGGCTCGGGTTCAAGCAGGCCTTGGTCAGTGTTGTCAGGATCAGTTCCCGCTCCCGGCTCCGTGGGTCGTTCCTGTTTGCCCGTCTTGCTCCAGTTCCCCGCTGATGAATGTGTTCAGGACAGGTGCAGAGGAAAGACAGTCCCTCCTTGCTTTGTTTCCTATTATTTACATCCTGTCAATTTCCAAAATAGACTATAACATGACTTTCAGTGAAATATAGGCATAGTTGAAACATTACAGTTACTACAAAGGGAATGCTGAAATTCTTTTGAAAAGCAGAAAATAAACTAGCCATCTAGGTTATTGCAACTGAGCGTTCAATCTCACCTTCGGGTTTCTGACTTCTGAGGAAAGAGAGGAAGAGTATGTTTACACTTTTTGTAGACGGAAAAAGGAATATTTTCATCCATCAAGTCAACTAACACAGGCTGATGGCCCTCTGCACAGCGGGCACGAGGGAATCCTAAGAATCAGCCTCACTTATTACCGTCAGGCTTCAAAAGATGCAGAATTCCTACCAGAACTATGAAAGCCATGGGAATTCATCCCTCGGTGTGGACTTCATAAGACATATTCAACATTGAAAATATTTCCAGCAGCAGTTTCCAGAGAAGTGGCAGAAATAGTCTCTGAAAGTAGGGGAAAGCAAATACAAAACTGTATGCACCCATTTATAGAAACATATATTAAAAATAAAAATCTATCAAACAGTTTAACTATGATTTTTTATTTCCCAGATTTTCTTGAGAACTCTAGAGCAACCACTAAAGGCATGCTAAAGAGAAGTACAATTGATATACTGAGGAGAGAAAATGGAATCATATACAGAGAAGGCAGAAAAAGAGTAGGAAATAAAAAAGAAATAAGTGCAATGAAGGAAACAGTTATGAATATGGTAGATATTAATCCAGCTCTAGCAATAATAACTAAGTATCAATCCTCTATATATGCCAATTAAAAGAGAGACCGAGTGTCTAAAAAACAAGACCCAACTATATGTTGCCTACAAGACACTCACTTTAAATATACAGCACATATAGTTTAACAGTGAAGGAACAAAGAAATATATGACACGCTAGCATTAATCAGAAGATATGGAATAGCTATATTAATTCTAGACAAGTAGACTTCAGAACTAAGAAAACAATCAGGTATAAAGAAGCATAATGTCTATGTTCTTAGCAACAAAGTGTCAAAATATGTGAGTCAAATATTGATGAACCCTATAGAGAAATAGAGAAATCCACGATTAAACTTGGAGACTTCAAAGCCCTTTTATCAGTAATTTACAGATCCAGAAGGCAGAAGGTCAGTAAAGATAGAGCTGACATTTAGAATACTTCATTGAACAGCAGCAGAGAACACATTCTTCTCAGGTTCACATGCAACGCTCACCAAAATAGACCACATGCCAAGTTGGAAAGAATGGAGTAGCACAAAGTATGTTATCAGATCACAGTGGAATTGAACTAGAAGTCAACAATAGATAGACAGAAAATTCCAAAAATATTTGGAGATTGAACAACACACAGCTTAGCTACTGTAGGAAACTAAAGGATAAAGAACATTATATATATATATAAATCAGACAGAATAAAAGAACTAATAAAAATTAGAATAGAAGTCAATAAAATTGAGAGCAGGATATCAACAAATCAAAAGTTTATTCTTTGACAATACAAATAAAATTGATAAACCTCTACTAACCAAGATAGTAGATGAAATGGACCAATTTCTTGAAAGACACAATCTACCAAAACTTATGCAAGAAAAGATAGATATTTGGAATCATCCTATTTCAGTTAAAAACATTGAATCAAGAATTGGCAACCTTCCAAAAAGAAAGCAAAAGGTCCAGATGGTTTCACTTGTTATTTTCCAAAATATTTAAGGAAGAGATAACAATTCTCTACAATGTGTCCCAGATAATTGAAGTAGATGGAATATTTCCTAACTCATTCTCTGGAGCCAGCATTATCCTAATACCAAAAACCAGACAAAGACAATACAAGGAAGGAAAAATACAGACCAATATCTCTCATGACCACAGAAGCACAAATCCTCAATAAAACATTAGCAAATAAAACCAACCATGCATGGGCCTCCCCTGGTGGCGCAGTGGTTGAGCGCTGGGCTGCAAAGCTGCCCGCAGCCTCTACAGTGCCGGTTCCATCCCTGGGGGTCCACATGGAGCGCAGACCTCTCCTGCCTCACCTGCTGCTCCCCTCAGCAGTGTATTTCGTCAGTCTGCCTGCTCTGCTCCCCGCTCTGGCTCTGGTGAATTCTCTCACCCTCCCGTGCTTCTGACTGTACCCAGTGCTTGTATAAATAAATAAATAAATAAATAAATCTTAAAAAAAAAAAAAAAAACCAACTGTGTATAAAAACCCATAAACAAGTGAGATTTATTCCAGTTTTGCAAAACTCATTTAACCTTTAAGAATCAGTCATATTAAAAGGCAAGGAAATGGAATTTCCCCAATAATCATCAGGGAAACACAGCCCATTAGCTTCTTAATTTTAGGATTTCTGACCCTGCCGTACAGAAAGACAATAAATGTGTGTTGGTTTAAGCCATAAGGATTGTGATAATTTCTTATAGCTGCAATAGGCAACTGATACAGAGAGATGGAGTCCAGAGTAAAAGCAGAGGATTGGAAAGGAGAAAAAGCAATTCTGGAATTTTTGTTGCGAACATGAGCAGTGAAATGGGGTGGGGGCCATGGGGAGCAAGATGAGGGCCTTAAGTTTTCTGTTTTAATTTCTTTCAAAAACTTTTTTCACAGCTTGTCCTCTTGTTTAAAAATTGTATTATTTTTGCAGCCATGACACTGGTTTACAACACTGTTTATGATTTAAAGACGTAGGTTCACCGCTTTTCAGATGTATGTTACCATGCCATACCTACCACAAAACCAAAAGCCCCAATAATCCTTCCCCATGGTCCATTGAGCCCCCTTGCCCCTTTACTCCCCACCCCCTCTTCCTCCAATTTTTATATATTTTAATTAATAAGCTTTAGTTTTTAGAGCAGTTTTAGGTATACAGAAAAATGGAAGGGATTATACAGAGTTCCCGTGTCACCTCTTGCTACTAATAATATCTTGTATTAGATACGGTATATTTGTTACAAAGGGTAAATCAATACTGACACATTAGTCTTAACTGAAGTCCAAAGTTGATATTAATGTGCACTCTGTTGTACATTCTATGAGTTTTGACAAATGACTGACATTTATCCACCATTACAGTATCACACAGAATAGTTTCACTGCCTCAAAAATGCCCTGTGCTTCACCCACCCCCCTTCCCCAGCCCCTGCCAACCACTGATCTTTTACTGTCTTGGTACTTCTGATTTTTCCAGTATGATATGTTGGGACAATATTGTACATAGACTTTTCAGCTTGGCTGATTGAGGAAATTACTGTACTGACATGAGCCACAACCCTGACTTAACGTGCTTATGTGGATGCTAGGACCCATTTCCTCTTCTGAGTTTCAGATTGAGAAACCCCAAAGCAGAGTTTGACCATACAACCTCTTTTTTTCTGCAGCTGCCCTCCTTAGTGCAGACAGGTGGAGGAAATGAAGTGGAGGGCCAGCTTCTACAGCTCACTTGCAAGATGTCTCTGCTAAAAGCACAAGTGTAACAGCCTTGACATCTTCCTATGTGGTAGACAAAGAGGCAGTTTCCTCCATCACACCAACCTCAGCTCAGCAACTAAGCACATGTTCCTCTTCCCCACCTCTGATTTGCAGAGTTACCCATTTCCTTTATCATTTGCCAGTTTTTAAAAGCTTCATCCTCTAGGGCTTAGCTGTACCCATACTCTCACAGGGGATGGTGTCAGATGGAACCCTGATCATATGGAACCCAGATCAACTCCCAAGTTTACTTGAGAAATGGGTGCAACCAGAGCTTGAAGGAAAAGAAAAAAGGAAGTGAAGACATTTATTTTTTTAAAGAGAAAGCTCTTCTTTTTTAAAATTTTTAATGTATTTTTTAAAGATTTATTTATTTATTTATGCATACAAGAACTGGGGTACAGGCCAGAGACGTGGGGGGTGAGAGGATTCACCAGAGACAGAGTGGGGAACAGAACAGGCAGATCTACTGAAACACACTGCTGAGCGAGCAGCGGGCGAGACAGGAGAGGTCTGCTGCGCCATGTGTGTTGCTCCCTGGCCAGCTGGGGATCGAACTCATGCTGCAGAGGCTGTGGATTGCTTCACAGTGTGGTGCTTAACCCCTTGCACCACCAGGGAGGCCCAGAATTGAAGACATTTATGCCTTTTCATCTAGAACACACTGATGGACCAATATTCCTCAAGTCTCTCGAGACTTTGTACTGTAGGTATGAATTAATTTTGGAAATACATTCATGAATCTCATCTAGTGAATTATTACAGAAATACAGATTATTACAATCCACAGCCCCAAGCCTCACTGTTTTCTCCAGGTACCTTGAGAAAATGTCCCAGATGTCCCAGTGGCCC